TCACGCTCTTTGCGTCTCTCTCACTCCTTGCGTATCTCTCTCTCCCTCCCTCCCTGCCTCACCTCCTCCCGTCTCTCCCACCTGTGCTTCGCAAAGACTTGGTTGTTGTGGGATTTTTAATAATATGCTGGTTCTTATCTTTACAGTATATAATGTTTGTGGACGTTTTTGCATTGACGATTTAATGCTATTTTATTAGAATAATGATGGTAAATCTGACTGTTTAAAGTCAGTGCCTCCCCAATCAAAAACCTCACCACACGTCCCTGGGGACCACGTTTGGCCCGGGGACCGTACGTTTCCGGCAATGGCCATGTTTGTTTTTTTCATTTGAAATCCATATGCAACTCAGCAATTTATTGAGCTAATGTACGCAGCTTTATGATTTACTGACCTGCCCTGGAGGCAAGGTCAAAGAGATAATGGATCCCCAAGCACTGATCGTAGACTGGGGGGAGGGCTCCGGGTTGCACCGCCTCTCCACACGCCACAGTGGGATGTGTGGCTTTTATTTACATGAAAACGCGTGTGCGCCTTTGTCCGGACGTTCAGCTCCATACATTTCTGCAACGCGCGCACTCGCCATCAAGGAGATCTACAGCTTTTTGTTTTATACTACCACTGCATCCAAGTCAGCAGCAGCACCAGCAGCCCCAGCAGCCCCAGCATCATCCCACACGGCGCCCGTCCCCAGCCTCTGTATCCCGTGTGTTTTGGAAAGCACAATGCCTGGTTCACCTCGGCACTCCATCCTTGGAGCCAGCGCTGATATACTGTGCACTGTTTTCTCCGTGGGTAATGCGTAAATGGAACCTCGGCGCGTCTATGGAAAGCCCCCATCACTCGAATTGGAGTCGCAATAATGTCCCCAGCCTCAGCAGCGACAGCCAGCGAGAGCAGCACCATCACCGTGCCCGGAGAAGAAGCAGAGAGCCCGCGGGAGGAGGTAGACAGGAGCTGCTTTGTACAACTTTTGAGATAATTGGCCAATATGAGCTTGAGACTTGTTTCAGTGTTGAACATTGGAAAATGCATGTCTTTTGTCAAATTATATCACAACATGTCTCATCCACATTGATAATTCCTTTATGAATCTTGAGTGAAAAGATGCCGTGGTTTTGGATTTGAGAATCTTTCCATTCTCCAAACTGTTATCGTTTTGACTGAGAATAGCATAAAACTTTGCATTTTCATGGATACACATAAGTGCCAACTCAAAACAAAGTATGTTTTGATAATTAAAGCTGGGGAACGTAACTTTCAAACCACAAAAAAGATCTCAGAAAAATTAAATCCACTTGCTCATTGCTCTCCAAAGTGTTTTTAGAGCCGAAAAGTAAAAAAAAAAAAAAAGAGAGAGGACCACCCGCACTAGGCCAATCAGCTTTCAGCCCAAAGCGTCAAATAGTGACTCACATGGCTTTCTTCACATTAATGCAAAATACAAACATGTTTTCTAATAAGAGGAAGACAGAATGTTGTGGTCAGATTTTACTTTTACAAGACTCATTCAGTTGGGTCCAAATACGTTTATTATGATTTCAACAAGTCAGGTAACCCAGCTTTAAGTCAAAATGAAGTGTATGCCAAACTACCAAACGTTTCTGACATTACAAATAAATGCTTAAGATTTTGAGGTTTCCAGGCGAGATACAGCTGGACGTGTGTCTGTGCATGTATGTGTGTGCGTGTACGTGTGTGTGCGTGTACATGTGTGTGCGTGTACGTGTGTGCATGTATGTGTGTGCATGTATGTGTGTGCGCGTACGTGTGTGTGCATGTATGTGTGTGCGTGTACATGTCTGTGCATGTATGTGTGTGCGTGTACGTGTCTGTGCATGTATGTGTGTGCGTGTACGTGTCTGTGCATGTATGTGTGTGCGTATACGTGTGTGTGCGTGTACGTGTGTGTGCATGTATGTGTGTGCGTGTACATGTCTGTGCATGTATGTGTGTGCGTGTACGTGTGTGTGCATGTATGTGTGTGCGTGTACGTGTCTGTGCATGTATGTGTGTGCGTGTACGTGTCTGTGCATGTATGTGTGTGTGAACGTGTGTGAAAGTCCAACTGTAGCTCCTTTTAAAGTTACACAATAATTTTACATAGTATTTACGTATTTGTGACAGGTTAATAATAACTATGCTGCTAATCTGTCATTATGAACCAGGTCCACTCCCTGTTGTTGCCATCTGACCATAGACTGTATATAATAACGGACAGAGTCACGCCTATCTCCGCCGTTCATAGGAGTTGGCCATGAAAAGTGCTTTCATGGAGCAATCCAAAATGGCCGTGAGTGGTCCCGCCCACAAGAAAATTGTGAAAAAACGCATCTGTGCATGCGTCAGCCGGCGCAGCTCCATTCATTTGAACGAGAGACTTAAAAAATTCACCGCGAGTAAACTAGACTGGTCCAAAAAAATTCACCGCGAGTAAACTAGACTGGTCCAAAAAAATTCACCCCCCTCATCATTGACACACATGTGGAACGGACCTTTGGGCCAAGAGCCAACTTTTGGACCATCCTGTAAAGACGTTTTTGAGAGGTCTGCCAACGCTATATGTTAGCATTGGCTAATTCTTCTTCTGGGTCCACCCCCATCGGCCCGGGGTGGTATTGCAAGCATGTCAGCGCACGTCATTTTGGCCACTTTTGAGCTGGAATCCGCCCCCACTGCATTTGAGGGCCACTTAATCAAAATAGCCATTAAAATAAAAGCCATTTATTTGGTTCTATCGAATAATCAAAGCATTTCTGATCATTATCCTACTTTAATATTAATACTACACATTGTCAACTTAGAACATGAGTGATAATTATTTACTTCAGTTATTTTTGTAAGTGGTTGTGGTATTGTGTTATAGCAGCAGCAAAGTTAACAGACACATTCCCTGATGCAGAAAGACTCGTTACATAAAAACTCTCTTGTGTAATGCGTTCATTATTTATAAGTTGTAGACGTGGCATCTTTTCTTTCCTGTTTTTTAATGATGCCATGTTTTTAGCCAGTATAACAAACTTTAATACACTTTCTTTCTCCAAATCAGAAAGGGTTTTTTTAAATTCTGTTTACAACATGCCGTCTTCATCTTATTGTGAGCCCTGTGAGTAACTATTGGATTCTCCGGGGTGAGAGCTGATTGGCTGAGCAAGAGTAGTCCTCTCTTTTTCACTTTTCTGTTTGAAAAGCAGATCTACACATGTCAAACATACAGTCAGAAGCAAACTGTTTATAGAGCGAGGAGCTAGTTAGGCAGATTTGAGTAAATTCGTTTTTGTAAAATAAGGTATCATAGGTCCAGTGTTACAGGAACATGTAGGAGAGAGCACATTACCCCTGCGTGACTTCACTGGCTCTGTCACATTCAGGGTTTATTTTAAGATTCCGATGCTTTGAAATGTTTTAACGGTTTGTATGTGTGTATATGGCAGAACTTATACATATGTATGCTCTTGCTGGTCTCTCTGGTCTCTCTCTGGTCTCTTGCGGACATGTGGTCTGTCTGGACAAAACTGTTGTTTGATCTCTCCCTGGTCCCTCTCTGGTCTCTGGTCTCTCTCTGGTTTCTCTCTGGTCTCTCTCTGGTTTCTCTCTGGTTTCTCTCTGCTCTCTCTATCTGCTCTCTCTCTGGCCTCTCTCTGGTTTCTCTCTGGTTTCTCTCTGCTCTCTCTATCTGCTCTCTTTCTGGTCTCTCTCTTAATATATTTCAGTAATTTTTAGATTTAGAGTTCAAGAAAAGCAACAGTTACACACATATTTAACACTTTCCGCCATTTTTATGAATACCCTTTTTACGCTGGATGTATATTTTGGTCAATATTTCTCAAGCCCCATTTATAATCAGACATATCTTTGATCACATTTTAACGTTTAAAAGCAATAATAAGATAAGCTATTCTTGCCTCTTTGCTCCTCTGAGCTCTTCCTGCTCTTAAACCATATTACATGTAATATTATATGACTAAAGCTTATACACGAGTGGCTTAATGCTCTTCCTCCTTCAGCAGAGGTTTGTGGGGGTGTATGTCTCTCTCTGTGTGTGTGTGTGAGCGTGGGTGTGTATGCGTGCATGCATGTGTGTGTGAATATATGTGCACGTGCCAGTGTGTCTGTGTATATATGTGTGTATGTGTGTGCATGAGAATGTGTGTGTGTGTGTGTGAGTGGGCGTGTTTGTGTGTGTGTGAGTTAATCCCATGACTCTAAGGGTGGGGCCTCTGGTTGGTAAGGCCCAGCGCCCTGTGGCTGAGGTGCAGGAGATAATTGGGAAGAAAACATTTATTATTGATGGTGAGTTGAAACACAAAGCAGTTCGTTACAAAACAGGGAAAGCTTGATTTGGCATTTGACATTTCACCGATTCATAATAATAATAAGAAATAAACATATTTATTGATGTCTGACACTTTTCACTGTTGTTTACCCTTTACAGTCTTTAAAGAAGACATAACATGCATTATTTTTGGCCAGAAATATATATAATGAGACTATCTACTTTGCCATTTCATATTTTATCATGTGAAATACTATTTAAAGTTGCAAATATACAATGAAACAAGTATGAAAGGTAAAGATGCCACCAGGGGAGGCTGCCAACACAGGCATGAGATTGTCACAACAAATTTTCACCTGAAAAAACGGACAAAACTGATACATATTCTGTAAATCCACCTTTTCACTCTTTAAGCTTACACACCTCATCAGTCACAGACCAAGGTTTTAGCTACATCCATGCTGGGATCTCGGAATCTTTGCATAAACATGTAACCCCCTGTCTCAGTCCTGTAATAGTGTGATGTCATTGTAATTCTATGACATCACACGCAGAGCAGTTTTCTGACATGATGTGTGATGTCATAGTGGTCTTTCTCTCTGGTCTCTCTTGGGTTTCTCTCTTGGGTCTCGCTCTGATTTCTCTCTAATCTCTTTCTGCTCTCTCTCTCTTGCTCTGTTCTCTCTCAGGTCCCTCGCTCTGGTTTCACTCCCTGGTCTCTCTCTCTGGTCGCTCTCTGTGGTCCTTCTCTCTGCATGGTCTCTCTTCCTCTGGTCTCTCTCTGGTCTCTCTGTTACAACGATGACCACTGCTCCTGACAGAGGTCCAAGCGACATTGAAGGATGGGTCAAATGCAGAGGACACATTTCCCCAATATAGTATAACTTTAATATTTCTAATCAATCACCCAAACATGTAGTTGTCAGGAGAAGTTCATTGTCCATACATTTCCATTAAAGACTTCGATTAGCATTTTCGTTAATTGCTTCTCCCACACTTCAGCGATAGCCGTCACGCTGTTCTGGTTTTGCGTGCTCGGCCTGGCATGCGTCCCGGGTTTGGGCTCAGTGTCAGGGGTAGAGCAGCGGCCCCTGGGGGTGTGACGTGTTTGCTTCACGCTCTGTGGCTGAGTCTGTCCTGAGGTGATAAAGGATGGCACCGGCCGGCTGCATGGAGGAGACCAGCCCTGCTCTGCACAGCGTCACGCTCGTATTTTGCTTTATCACATATTGGTGGAGAAACAAAGGCCCTCAAATGCCCATTTTGGAAGCAGACACATTCCTAAGAGCCTGCAGTCTAAAATTGTTGAGAAGAGCACCTGCAAAATCTGCTCTGATAGCTGATAACTGTCAAAAGCTTATTTCTCTGTCTAAATACCTCTAAATATCGAGATGATGCCAATGCTTTTTTAAATTTTTTTATATTGAGACGTTCAGATATGGAAACAACCAATTTCCCAGAGTTTTTTTTTGAGTTGTTCCTTGCTGATGCAGGAGGGTCTAAGGACAGTGGTGATGATCCAGGACATTTAAAGGTATACAGGAGGATTAGGATTAAGTAGGATTTTCCCAAATTTTAGGAAAGAGCCGTCCTCTCCACTTTTTGGACACAACTCTCTGGTCTTATTTGACGAGCCCGTATCACCAGAATGATTGACAATTGGGAGGACTAATAGTCTTCATGATCCACCCGGAAGTAGAAAATCCTTATATACCTTTTAAGGACATTTATTAACACTGGACATTGGTCTGCTCCCTATGGACCAATTAATTTATGTGTTTTTTTAATCATTGCATTCCCTGTGTTTGATTCTCTGATCTGTGTTGGAAAATTGACCTTGTAAATTGATTTAGGGCAATACGAAAATAAATGGAATTGAATTGAAGTATGGTGCGTATATCAAGAGCAGACTGACTGAGTGTGACATCACCGTAGTGTTAGCCTGGAGTGAGTGAGACACAAACGATAACTGAGCCAGAGTTTATTTTCAATGTCCTTAAGCCCAAAATGGTGAGTGTGACACAAACGGTTACTGAGCTAGAGGATTTTACATTGAAGTCAGGAGCTAGAGTGTGTTGGAGCAAAACCTCGTCCACGAGCACTTCCCTATTGGGTTTCATTGAGCTCAGCATTCATACAGGCTATGAGAAAAATTATATCTGGTAAAATACTTTTTACATTTAGCACCAACTGAAATATTGAAATACAATCAAGAACATGAACGCAACTTACAGGATAGAAACATATTTATTCCAAATTAAAACGGACTAAAACATGCAGCTGGTTCATCTCATGCATAAAGAATGATAGAGCACTTAAAATGCTGAATATTTCTGTAAATATTTGATATGCACACGGCACTGCCTTTGAACTGTTTCTAAGTTTATCCACGAGGTGCTTGGTGCTTAGTAAAAAACAGCCTCTCAGTTAAAGGCGCTAAAGTGATGTGTTTAATTATCGGCCTATTCCCTTTGCTCATGTGTTGTGTTGTGTGTTGTATCGTAGGTACATAGGTTGTCTTCATGTCTTAGAATTTCAGTATTTCAGGAAGGTGCTAATACAAATCATTATTTGAGAGGGATATATTATTGTTGAATTATACTGAAAAGTCGCATTTAACATAAAGGTGTTATTTTCTCATAACAGAAAATAATGAGATCATAGTTGATAGAGAGGCCATAGAGAGACCAAGGAGAGACCAGGCAGAGAGACCAGGGAGAGAGACCAAGGAGAGACCAGAAAGACACTAGAGAGAGACCAAGGAGAGACCAGAGAGACACCAGAGAGAGACCAAGGAGAGACCAGGCAGAGAGACCAAGGAGAGAGACCAGGCAGAGAGACCAGGGAGAGAGACCAGAGAGACACCAGAGAGAGACCAGATAGACAGATTACAGAGAGACCAGAGTGACCATAGACGATATGGAACAAATGGTTCCTATGTATTTGTCATTATTGCATTTCCTAAGTTCGAACTGTTTGATTCTCTGATCTTTTGTGATTTAGAGGGATCTGGGATTTTATATTTTTATCTTTCTTTTTAATGTTCTGTGATTATTTATGATTTTAATGCTTTCTTATTTTGTTCAGCACTTTGAATTGCCTTGTGTATGAATTGTGCTATATAAATAAACTTGCCTTGCCTTGCCTAGAGCGATACATAACGACATTAAATTGAATTGTGTTGTGTTGTGTGTTGCAGCAGCGGCCGGTGAAGCAGTCTCTGTCCAAGTGTCTGTGTCAGGAGAACCACTGGAAGTGTCTGCTGCTGTCTCTGCTCATGTACGCCTGTGTGGGGGCCATGGCCTGGTGCCAGCTCACAACAGTCACGCGCCTCTCCTTCGACAGCGCCTACAAGGGCAAGTCTATGATGTACCACGACAGCCCCTGCTCCAATGGATACATCTACATCCCCCTGGTCTTCCTGGTCATGCTCTACGTGGTGTATCTGGTGGAGTGCTGGCACTGTCACACCCGCGCTGAGCTGCAGTACAAGGTGGATGTGGACAACGTGAGCGAGCGCGTGCAGAGGATGCAGCAGGCCACTCCCTGTATCTGGTGGAAGGCCATCAGCTATCACTACGTACGCAGAACCCGGCAGGTGACACGGTACCGCAACGGAGACGCCTACACCACCACGCAGGTCTACCACGAGAGGGTCAACACCCATGTGGCAGAAGCAGAATTCGACTATGGAAACTGTGGGGTCAAAGATGTCTCCAAGAAGCTGCTGGACCTGGAGAGCTTCCCCGTCACGCGCATGAGGTTCACCAAGTGTTTCAGCTTCGCCAACGTGGAGTCCGAGAACTCTTATCTCACACAGAGGGCTCGCTTCTTCACAGAGAACGAGGGTCTAGACGACTACATGGAGGCGCGCGAGGGCATGCACCTGAAGAACGTGGACTTTCGGGAGTATATGATCGCCTTTTCAAACCCAAGCCACCTCCCATGGTACGCCACGCACTCCACGTTCTGGCTGGCCGCGGCTCTGACCCTTTCCTGGCCGCTGAGAGTGCTGACGGAGTACAGAACAGTCTGTGCGCACTATCACGTGGAGAAGCTCTTTGGCTTTGACTTTGTTCCCAGCTCCCCGTCAGAGGAGAGGCCATACTGTCGCCACATCCCCCGGGTCAACACCTTCGACAGCACAGAGCTAGAGTGGCACATCCGCTCGAACCAGCAGCTCGTGCCTAGTTACTCAGAGGCAGTGCTCATGGACCTGTCGCAGCTGTCGGAGGGAGGCTACAGCAGCTACAGACAAAGCTGCGAGAGGTGCCAGCGCGCCGCCAGCAGCTCCTCCATCTTCTCCCGCAGCGCTTTGAGCATCTGCACCACGCCCCGGCTGCCCTTCAGCTCCAGCCGCCTGTCTCTGAGCCGCATCCAGAGCTCGAGGAGAAGCTGTTTGTGGAGAAGCAGCGGGAGTCTGAACCAGGCCTGTCCCACGGAGAGCACTCGTCTGTCAGCGTCTACGCCTCGAGAGGAGAGCCCCCCGGAGTACCAGGATGCGCTCTGCTTCCCTGTGCTCATAGTGCACCGCAACGAAGGCTGCCGCAACCACGACCACCGCTCCCTACACCGCAACGGCGCCTGTGTGGAGACCTCCCTATGACACACACACTCAAGGGACCAACACACATGAGAGACTTCACCAAGGAATTAGTAAAACCCTTATACACACTGACTGGGATGTACCACTGATCTTGAAGGGGTTAGGGATAGTTGATCTGTTTATCTAAATATTTTAGGAATACATTTGGATTTTTTTGAAATGTTCAATCCCAATACTCCAAAGAACCTATAGTCCAACATTGTGGTGGAGAGCAGCTGAACATTCACTACTGGCAACCATGGTAACTGTCAAAGTTATATTACAGTCTTCGTTTTGGCAAATTTCTCTGTAATTTATGGAACACTCCACATGAATGTTCTTTGGTTTTTCTGGTCTCTCCCTTGTCTTCCTTTGCTCTCTATACTGTATTTCTGTTCTCTCTCAGGTGTCTCTCTCTATCTCGTCTCTCTCTGGTCACTCTTACAGCTATGGTCTTTTAATTTTCTCATGAAGATGTTGAGAAGTGGTGACAATATTCAAAAAGCATATGCATGATGTTGGCCAGCAGAAAGGACTCTCAGTAAATAGGTTGTAGAAATCTAAATAGATCTATTTCAGTATATTAGAGGGTGCCAAAACATCTCTACTACCAACACCATGCATATGGGTTTTGAATATTGTCACCACTGCTCGACAGCTTTATAAGAAAATTATGAGACCATAGATAATAGAAAGACCAGAGAGAGACTTGAGACCAGAGAGATCAGAGACCAGAGATAGACCTGAGATGATAGGTAACGACAAAGATGTTGAACTTTGTGACAGTCTTTGATTGATGAATTACAGAGAAATTAGCTCTTAACTACCATATAATCTGACTTTTGACAGTTACCGCAGTTACCAGGATAGCATATTCAGCTGCCCTTTATGGTCTATTTCAGCAAAACTACACATAGCAGGTTCAGGAAAACAGCCAAACACGCCTTGGTGATTTGTTCTAATTGAGTGAGCATGAGGTAGTCCCTTCAGAGGGGGGGACACGGTTGACAAAAATAAACATGTGATATAGCAGCTTGGTCGCAATAACATTTCACTTTCCGGCTTTCTAAAAATAGCAGAAGAGTTCATGAATAATGGAGCACAGAGGGCTAAAGGACACACACCCAACTGTAATCCTGTAATGTGTGTATTTAAATCAGCATTTAAATATATATATATTTTGTTTTATGTGTTTGTATTCAGGCTACCTCTTTATTTAAGTGCCTTCTCAAGACTAAGCAAGCATTTGATTCAAGAATTTTGGCATTAACCAAGTTACAACACAGCAGCCAGGACACACACAATGCAATGCGACATGTCCTGTTCTCTACAGTAATTTCACAAATCCCCAAATTTTGAGTTCTTGAGCCAGTCGTGGGCTGCTGCTGATGCGTATCAGGGAGAGCAGGCCATCAAAGACGCCGAGGCCTTGATCCACTACTGATACTGTCACATGGAATAATATCAAGGGATAACTTTAAAATGACATTTACCGAACAAGTGACTAGTGCTGTGGAACAATAAAGAGAAAAAAGCAGTGGTCCCACAGCATCACCATGTAACCAATTTCAGTCTATGCTGAATTCAAAGAAAGATAATAACTCAAGTCCTTCCCAAGTCTGATTAAAACAATGTTTTTGGACTCAGTTAGTAAATAGTCATCCAAAACTGTTCTTTTCTTCTGTTTAGAATTTGCTCTGCTCTAGTCAACCTGGTTATGTTTCCATTATGCTTTAGTATTTGGTGCCATATCCTTGCAACCTTCCCACAACAAACCATTAGTCATGGAAATTCCTTGGCAACCATGGCTTCCAGCAGCACTCTGGGCAATCTCTGTCAGTTGAAACACTATAATAGCAGTGTGGCCTGGATTGAACCAGAGCCAATAGAAACTAAAGAAGGACCTGGTACCTGTTCAACAGGGCCAATTGAAGTACTCCAAAATGGGGTAGAGTAGAGCTAAGGAGGCCCGGTGGAAACAAAGCTAAAGTGAACAAATCAGACCACTACATGCAGTCGTGTAATATTATTTAGAAAACCTTTCTTTTGCTTTTTTACTCAAATGATTTTCTCAACAGGGGAGCAGTGAAATGTACCGGTTTCATGCTATTTGATACTGACTGCATTCAAAGCCATTTGAATTCTAAGATGAGTAAATATGTAGAGCAGAGCAGCAGTCACACTGTCTGCATCTGCTCCTGTTACAGCTGTCATTCATACTAATGATACATCCGGGCCAATCAGCCATAAGTCATTACAGTCATTCCCACAAGCTCTACTTTTCTCTACACTACTCTACTTTACTTTACACAACTCAGCTCTACTTTACTCTACTCTGCTCTACCTGTCTGTGTTTCCATTACGCTTTAGTATCTGGTACTGTATCCTAGCAACCTACCCACAACAAACACTTGGCCTTGGTTATAACCAGGGCCAAAAGGGACTGAAGAAAGACCTTGGTACTAGTTAAACAGGGAAACATTGGAAACCCTCAGGGGAGAGTAGAGCTAAGCCAAGCCGAGTGGAGTATAGGGCTGGGGGAAACAGGGTATAAAGAAGGACCTGGTACCGGTTAAACGGGTCCATGAAATGCAAGATGCCACAGTATGTCGGTTTCATGTGGAGTCGTGTAGCTTATGTTGATCTAAAACAAAGAAGTTTTCAACAGTAAATGTAATTACAAAACACCGCGTCATTCTGGGCAAAAGAAGTGAATAGATCAATAAAACAGGAAGGACTCAAAGACCTCAGGCTTTTCCAGCTGGGCTTAATGTGATTTGTGGCACAACAGACCAACATTATGTCTAAATACAATCCATTTGTGAAAACCCGTCTGATAGTAGCGCTGCTTTTCAACAAACTCAAAACAAAGGAACTGTACACAGTCAGAAAACCCATCCTTTATTGAGGCAGTTATCTCCACATTCAAAACCTCCTATAAAAAGTCAAACTATAGAAACGAACGAGTGCATTCAGCATCAAAATATGTAGAACAAACAGGTAAAAATATGGAGAACAAATAGGAACAGATTTGAGGCTGATTTAGAAAATAAAAATCATGAACAGTATTCCTACAGGGACATACTTCATCTGGGCAAGACTTTAAAACCTTTTGTTAGTTCAATTAAATTTAACTCAATGTATTTTGTATCACCCTAAATCACAACATTGGTCATCTCGGAGGACTTTACAAAGTTGTCGATTCCCTAACCCAACAGATCAAAGAATCAAACAGCTTAAACACGGGAAATAACTGGAAACATATAATAGCGATTGGTCCATAGTCAGCAGGATGACCACTGTCCAGGAATGTTCATAAATGTGTAGAAATGTCCCGGATTATCGCTGTCCTTAGACCACTCAAAGAAAAGCTTGAAACGGTGTGGCCCAGACACTACTCAGTTTGAGGGACACTACTCACGAAACTGGTCAGATCCATGTAAAAACGCCTTATTTATTGTTTAGGTCAGGGGTGTAAAACCAGTTCCAGAAAGAGTCGTTGTGGCTGCAGGTTTCAGCTCTAACCTGAGGAGGAGCAACACCAGACTCCACCCATTTCCTCTGGTGACTCTGGAGTGCTCCTGTTTGGTTGGAATTAAAACCCACAACCACACTGGTCCTTTCTGGAACCGTGTTGACATTCCTGGTTTAGTTCTTTCTACTTTACCCTGATTTTGGTCAGACTATAGATCTCTGTGGCTCATACCCAAAGCTCTTTTAAAATCTTGTTATGAATCAATCACAATGCATTGCTCACACGTCATTATTTGTATCAAAATGTATGAAATTCAGGGTATAGGCTGTTTTTTACTAAATGCCTTTTTATTTAATTGTGACTGTTATTTAGATGGTATGGAAATGGTATAACTCAGCTGTAGACCAGTGGTTCTCAACAGGAACACCATCAACACCGAGCCTGGAGCATCGACCCAAATAAGTTTATAATAGAAATAATGTATTGAATTATCCTACAAAGCTGAAATCATTAACAAAACAAAGGAATGGAACAAAATCTTATATCAGTGCAAAAATTATAATTTTAATTTCAAACTTGTAACTCAAAAAAACATAAAAGTTTTTTTAACGCACCGTTGATCAAATCCCTCTGGGAAATCCAATGTACTTTGACTCTAACATTCTACCAGAACTTGATGGAGTCAAAATAATTAGTCCTTGCACTGCTCTGACCACAGCCCTAATCACATACAAACAGTGTATTTCCCTGCGGGGACTGTGTGCTCAGTCATCAGCTACGTTCCTACACCCCAGGGGGCGCTCTTACAAAGAACATTGACAGATTGGCCGCATCGCTATATAGATTTAGAACCTGCACAAAACATTATTACACACACACACACACACACACACACACACACACACACACACACACACACACACACACACACACACACACACACACACACACACACACACACAGACACACACACACACACACACACACACACACACACACACACACACACACACACACACACACACACACCAGGAATGATGTAGTATATTAGCTAGCACTGTAGAGAAGGCTTTGCATCTTTAGTCTCTTTGCATTATCTTTATTCTGCATTTTCTGAATTTCTAATACTTTGTACTAACACTGAATGCCTTATATTGTATTTCAACAGACTATGTCAAAATATGAGGCTCAATAAATGCAACTTCTCACTATGCTTTTTTGTTGGAATGTTTTTAGAATGTGATATACTAACAATCCAAGCTTGATATTAGCAACTGCAATACACTTACAAGTAAACCATATACAACTTTTTGAATGTATTTAGTAAAGAGAATGGATACTATTGTTCTCAACTATAAACAAAAAGTTAAAGCAGTTTATCTTTCAGAGACATACAGTGCACACTGTAGATCCAGGACTGAGGATGTAGATCCAGGACTGAGGCTGTAGATCCAGGACTGAGGCTGTAGATCCAAGACTGAGGCTGTAGATCCAGGACTGAGGCTGTAGATCCAGGACTGAGGCTGTAGAACCAGGACTGAGGCTGTAGATCCAAGACTGAGGCTGTAGATCCAGGACTGAGGCTGTTTGTATGTGGTCTCAATGGTGTCTGAGCCTGTACTGAAAAGTTAAGTATTTCTGTTGCATGTTCTCTGTCCTGTCTATGAACCATGTGTCTCAATAAACATCTACTAATAATAATGATAATAATAATAATAGTTTAATAAGAAACAATGCCATGTAGATTGACGTTTGATGTGTTTTTAAGGAGTGCTGGTCTCCTGTTTTACATTGTTCACTTGTTTTGTTGTTTTGTGAGCGTGCTCGTTGGCCCTCACCACCTTCTGTATGGAGTCAGTGTCCTCCTCTTCCATACCGGTCAGATCCAGATCAAACTTGACCACAGTGCTGTTCTGGGACATGGCCTCTCGTAAAGCTCTCCCTCCATCCTGGAAAACATAAAGTCTTGTTTAGTTTGTCTTTCAAGAATAATAATCTCAATCCTTGGGGGAAATTTTACTATGTTATGTTTGTTTGAGAACATGCCCAAAACAAATCGATTCAACATAATAACATACATTTATGAAAAAGAAATGTTTTGAAAAGGGGGTTGGAAGAAGCAGATGCAGAAACTTCCGACCTCCTTCACTCATTCAACACAGAAAATGATTTTAATACAAATAGGAAAAAAACAACAGTATTTGTGATATTACTGTTATATATTGTATTGCTATTATAGTACTAGTAGTATATAACAGTAGTACAGGTACAAAAATCATGTAAGGTACACACACACACACACACCCTCCCCCAAAATGAGTGTTTTAAATGCAAATACTAAAGGCCAGAATGATTGAATCCCCCTCTTTACTCACCGCTCCCAGTTTGCTGTGGCATAGATTGATGCTGCTCAGTGTCCGATTGTGGAGGAGCAGGGTGCAGAGTGCGGCCGTGGTCTGCCCAGCCGCCCCAGCCCCAGACAGGTTTAAGGTCTTCAAGCAGGAGTTGTTCCTCAGGGCGCTCACGATGGCCTGCGCTCCCTCATCCCCCACACGGTTAATGCCCAGGTTGAGCTCCTCTAAAGTGGAGCCGTGCGACAGAGCGTGGGCGAGAGCCTTTGCCCCGTGGTCCTGGATCTGGTTGAAGTACAGGTTGAGGGAGATCAGCTTACTCCTGGTGAGCAGTTTGGCGACGGCTCGGGCTCCTCTGTCGCCGATCACATTGAAACTGAAGTCCAGCTTGGTTAAAGAGGGATGGTCCAGGAGGTGTTTGACCAGGAGCCTGCACTGAGCGTCACCAACACTGCTTTGGTAGAGGTGCAAGACCTGGACAAGAACAGAATCCACATCATGATTTTCATTTAGCAAATATTCAGAAAACATACAATGGAAAATTTGACTCCAGTCTATTTTCTCTAAAACAACTGAAAGAAATGCTAACTTAATCTTTGTCCTGTACTCTTTGTGAAGTGAAAGCCCTGTAGTTTTGGCCTCTGATAATTAATTAACTGCTGATTAATTATGAGTAATAACAATATTTGTCACTTGTTTTTCATGTTCTGTTTTGGGGCTCTGCTCATAAAGCTGATGCAGAGTCCTGGGAGTTCCCTTTTGAAATAAAGAGAATTCAAATGAGAACAATTTCTAATGCTGTTCAGTCAAAACTACCAGAAAATGATCTCCAAACTAATGTCAAGTAAAATGTATTCTGTTGCAAAAATACTGTTTTAATGTATAGGTATTCAACTGTAATTTTCGGACCTGACCAATTTATACAGTCCTGGATCTACAGCCTGAGCCCTAACCAATGGCTCTCATGTGTTTGTGGGGGGGTTCTTCTTCTTCTTCTTGATAGGTTTTTTCCAGCGGTTGGCGACCATTTTTTGCGCATTACCGCCACCTTCTGTTCTGTAGGATGGGTCAGTAGGCTCACACTCTAACCCCACAGACTAACCCCACAGTGGACCACAGACCACTAGTCTGTGGTCCCACCAAGGGAAAGGTAAAAAAAAATAAAAAAAATTCCACAACTTTGTAAAGTCCTCAGACGACTGCTGTTGTTATTTAGGGCAATACACAAATATATTGAATTGCATTGAAATGACAAATTGTTTTTAAGACAATAAATTTTACCTTCAGAGAGTTACAAGACTTGACCGCCTGAGCGAGTGTCTCACAGTCTTTTTGCGTCATCTGAAACATCTCTTTTTGATAGTTCATGCCGCACTGCTTGATTCTGTAAACCAGGTGAAGCTCTTCCAGGTTACAAAGCTTTCCTAGCAGTGCATTGAAATTAAAATGATCTAGACAGATTTCGTCATCATTGTGGATATTGTTCAGCTCCATGTGCTGTTCCTCTGGTTTCTCGATCGGCACCAGCAGCTCCTGAATGTCCAGTCTTTTCACTAAGTCCTTACAAAGAGGCAGCATATCAAGGATGCTTTTTAATAGCGTCACATTGGGGATGTATAATTCAATTAGATTCTCCAAGTATCGCTCAAAAAACAGCCTTTTCCAGCTCTGGCCGTGGTTGGACGCATCACAGTTGTGCCAAAGCTCCTTGCATCTTTTCTGCCAGTACGCGCCGTCAGGGATGAGTTTGCTTGTGAGAGAGAGTGGAGTGTGAATGGACAAAGTCTCCTGGATGTACTTCTGCTCAGAGGGGCTCAGCTCTCCATATATGGGCTTGACTGTAAAAACAAGAGGGGAGGTCATCTCACTATAGACTGTATACAGAAACAAATGGACAATGCCAACTCGCAAGCTCAATGAAGCCCAACAGGGAAGTACTCAAGGTCAAAGTTTTTCTCCAACTCTCTAGCTCAGTAACCCTTTGTGTCACGCTCACCATTTTTGGGTTAAAACAATCTGTGGTTTATTTTATATTGTCTTTGTAAATCCGAATGTTAACCCTATAAGTCTCGACCAATCAGATGCCTTTATATGTGTGAGGAAAACTCCAGCTTGCCTTAGCAACCATCTTAGCAACACAGAAAGAAGAATGCCCATATAAGGAAATTGGCTCCAGCTACTTATGTTCAAATTGGCTTCTTCCACATAAAGGCTAACGCTATGATGATGTCTGACACTCGATCAGTTCACTCCTCAAACAGTACAGCCTATGTCACAAAGGCTGTCATTTCGTAGTTACAGAACATTTGGATTAGGAATAAGCCAAGCACTGGAGCAAATACAGAAATAACCATGCATTATCTATACGCATAACATGGAGTATATTTGTGCGTTGAGCAAATAATTTGTAAATAAAGTTGTAAATACATTTTGTAAAGACATAGGGTGAATGCTGTTGAGTATTGCTAAAGAATATTTATGTACTGTATATATTGTGAAGATATTTTCCCAAGTCACAGAGCACCTGCCCCTCACTGATCCTCTGCAGGTGGTGAGTCCACAGGATGGCTGCTCTGTCAATGTAAGCATAGCCATGATCTCTCAGCGGGGGCTTTGGGCAAAGTGTCATGCCCAAGGACACAACGACAGCAGACATCAGTGGGAGTCGGTGGAGAAGGTGTCAAGGTGGGAATTGAACCCACAACCTTCAGGCCTAAAGGCCAATGCTCTACCAACTGAGTTACTGTCGCCCCAGGTAAAAATAAAAACAGTAATTACACACATAGAATACGAAATATAATTTTATATTTTGACCTCAAGGATAGAACTCTGTGTGCAGCCTGTTTCCCAGAGTGAATATAAAGCCACATTTATGTAGCCGTTACAAGTTTTATATAGAAAATCAAACAAATCAAAAACTTCTGTCTAGTCATTTTTTTGACCAATAGGGGATATTGAATCATTTACTAAGGCGCACAGCCCACGGTTTGAAAAACACTCTCCTAGGGTGTCCATTGTTTCACAGTGTCACAAAGAATTTTAATTGAATAATAAAGTTGTACCTTGAATGTTTGTAACGATCGAGTGTAGACACAGTTCAGAAAGAAAAGGAACTTGTTTGAGCGACCAGTTGGAGTCCTCTGGGATGATCCACCGCCTCCTGTTTTCAACACTCATTTTCACTGTTGAATGAATAGAGCACTTGTTACCATCAGCAAGTGACATAAACAGTGGGATGTGCGATCCAAGTCCCAGTCTCCAAGATGTCTGCCGTTCAGATCAATGACCTGTGCTCATTGGCTCATGGACATCCCAATACATTAGCCGAAGGGACTAGTTCTGACCAGCTCTGGTTCACTAGGTCTTATACAGTAGGTGTACACTGACCAATCAGCGTGCAGAGTTGGTTGTACTAAAGCATGGATTTAAAGAAACATTTCGAAAGGATAATACAACTGTTTTGACTGTATTTGGGATGTTCGAAGAGCTCTATGAAATGAGTTTTGGCAGAGTTGAAGTTGGCTGAATGACAAATGTTTCTAATCTTGCCAGCAACAAAAGCACTGTAACAATTATAGGAGCTAATTTTCCAAATCTTAGGAAGAGCCGCCCTCACCCCTTTTTGAACAAAAACTCTTACCACTCTTATGTTCTTACCAGAATTATTGACAATTGGGAGGACCAATAATTTTGATGATCCACCCGGAAGTTGAAAATCCTCCTGTATACCTTTTAATATAAGACACATTTCATTATATACAAATAAAGTCAACGCTTGAATTCTTGAGGTTCTGAGATTTACAGTGGTAGTGGCTCAGCTGAAGTTGGCTGGATGACACTGTGAAATTGTGTTTTCACAGTGTCAATTGTGTTTAATTGTGTATAATTTAAATGCCTATGTTCTGTTTATGATTCACTGCTTTGGGTTAGAAAGCCAGAGGGGCATAGGATTGACACAGAAGGACGCAATAAGGCCGCGGGCCCTAGTTTGAACTCTCTACATACTGCGAGTTAAGTGAGGCTACTCTCATATGCACTCAAAAAGCTGATCTAAATATGTGTGATATGTGTAGGGGGCAAAATGAAATTCAATAAACTAGTGATAGAGCTGTTTTCAGAGCGAGGAACTAGTTACATACTATTTATTTTTGTGATTTCAAAGTTAGCTAGCTTAGATGCGTTATTCCATTAGAGACGCCCTGAAGGCTAACTGCTAGCTTTCCTCATCGTTAATCAATTTTAGATGACTAGCTTTGTAATGTAGCCTTTTTGTTAGTGCTGTTTGAGTAATTTAGCTCAGTAAACATTGAATTAAAACAACAATAATAATATATAGAGGTGTATATTATCTCACCATGAACGTTTTCAAGGCGTGTAACCGGTCACCATGGAAACCGTACACAAAGGCTTCTCGTGGCGTTCACTTAAAATTCACTCATAATTATATCAAGTATAAAATATCTGTTACACTTTGGGATTTAGTGTCATCAAAATAAATAAATAAATATTGCGGTCGGATGTATTTATTATTTTACTTTTGAATTTATTTATGAAAAAACTTGTCTTTAACACCAAAAATAACAAAACCACCAACAAAGAAAGAATAAATGAATTGAACAAACACATATAGTTGACCCTTCAGAGTCAGCCTCAGGGTTTGGAGGAAGGGTGGAGCTATAGCTTTGAGTTCATGCTGTGAACATTTGGCTTTTCCAAAAACACAGATGGAGTCAGCAGGTGAACGGAAGACTGACTGAAAAGGCGACACTTAATTCAAAGTCAATATTTTGTTCTATTATCTATAGTAAATTCCAAAGCAGCCTCCTCTTGAACACATGTATTTGGGATAAAGCTGGTTAATATTTATGAATGAAAACTGGCTTCTAGTCCGGCAGTATGCGTCTGTCTTTTGTCATCACAGTGTGTGGAGGGAATCTGTCGTCCAAAACATTTTAAAGCTCTTTGGGTGATCATGGTCGGTGAAATGCCTAAATAAATAAAGATTACTTACTAGGTGCCAATAATATAAGGATATTTCATTTAATTTAATATGATAAATGTGATACTGTGTTACAATGACTGTGTTACTGCCTAAACTCTGTCCAAGCTCTGAAGCTGAAGGGAAACAAACTTGAGAATGCAGTAGTGAATGTAAAAGACATTTTTGCTACATATTTATTTTTATACAAATGAAGAATACATTACAAAAGGTAGAGTATGAACAGATATGTAATGTAAACAGAAATATGCAATATCATATCGCCTTCCTTCTAGCTAAGTAGACCAAAAACAATGCTTTCCCTTGAACTTGGCATCTCTTTTTCACAGTCTGCAGCGTGTTGACAAACTCCACCATTGCCTAATCGTCCGAAAGACTACTATCAGAGAAGGTCAACGGCGCTGACTGGCTGTAGTCCACATATGAGTCCGAGTCCGAATCCACGGACTGGACCGAGGAAGAGGCACTGCTGGCCACGAGCACCGGGCCCTCTGCGTCCCCAAGAGCGCTGCTGTCGTCATCCTGGATTACCATCACCTCTGCAGGCGGTGCTCCTGCAACACCACAAGTGCGATTAGCCGACAAAAACTACGGCTGGAACAAGGTTTAGTCTGCTGCTGTCAGACTGTACGACGAGGGTTAGGGTCACCAGAAGCGCTGCAGTCGTCATCCAGGATTACCATCACCTCTGCAGGCGGCGCTCCTGCAACACCACATGTGCGATTAGCCAACAATAACTACGGCTGGAACAAGGTTTAGTCTGCTGCTGTCAGACTGTACAGAACTGCTGGGCCTGTACATGTCAACGCATCTGTGAATAAGCGCAAAAATCTGGAGCAGTCTTCCTGAAAATGTGAGACAGGCTTCTACTTTGACAATGTTTAAATCCAGGTTTTGCTGCAACAACTGAAGGATTGTATGCTCACTCTTTTGAATCCACTGTGATTATTTATGCCGTTATCCCTTGTGTGAATGTTTCTATCTTGTTGTGTTAAGCGCTTTGAGTTGCCTTGTGTATGAACTGTGCTATACCAATAAACTTAGCCTAGCCTCACCTTGTATCTATATAGGCGAGTCTTCTAACTGTAAGAATTCTGTTCTTTAAGCACCAAAAACATCCATAACGCAAGAAAAACAATGAAAAATCTATTGGAGCAAGCAGAGAACGGACCCCACACCACATTTGCATCTTTGAAGCATCAGTACACAACATTATACTCAATTTTCCAGTTAAAAGTGACATAAAGGGGCTTTCAATTCCAGCTCTGTATTTGCCAAGTACCAGAAAATGACCTTGTCGCAAAGTAGCTGGGAGGGAATACGGTAAAGGATCCTCTGGTCAGTGAGAGGGGGAACATTAGTACGACTCCTGTCTGAACGGTCAAGGCCGAGCGGGTCTTTGGTTTGACGAATGTGGCGTTACACAGAACTGGGAGCACACTCTGCGTCTCCACCATATTAATACTGTGAGCTCATGCAGTTAGCAGGACGCGGCATAAATCACTCAAGTCAGAAAAATGGGCCGCTGCCAAACGCTTAACAGTCCTGCAAAGGTGATGTCAGCAACTTAATATGTATTTCACTTTTAGGTAATGCTTTAGATTAGCCCTCAATAAATAACAGCTAATAAAGTGCTAATTAGTGCACCCTAACGCTAGCTACAGTCCAAACCCTAACCCACATGGGAAAGTGTTAGTAGTTGGTAAGATATTGACTAATAAGTGCTCAATAAATACCAATTAAAAGGCTAACTAACCATATATTACATTGCACTAATAAGCTGTTAATTAATGACGGCTAAAATAGTGTATATTTCTGACCATGAGTCACTGCAAGTATTTTTAATTTCATAGTTAACCCTTGTGCTATCGGCGGGTCACATTGAACCGCCACAGTCATTAAAAAATACCTATAATACATATTTTTTTTGGTTGACAGTGGCTCAGTTGTAGAGCGTTGGCCTTTGAGCCAGAAGGTCATGGATTCAACCCCACCACGAGATCTACTCCCACTGATTTCTGAGGTCTTAATAATCTTAATCCTTGTTCTGTGTCATTTTGGATAACTTGGTAACTAGAACGACACACACACCTCTCACCTTTCCTCTCGTTGACCAGCTCCTGCCTCCTCCTCTTCAGCTCCAGACTCAGGTTCTCCACCATGCTGTCGATGCAGTTGTCCAGGGCCAGGCAGCGGGTCTGGGACACAATGGCCTGACTGCAGATGGGACACTGGTCTTTCTTCTTGCGCCACTGTTGGATGCAGTATTTGCAGAAACTGTGAGCACAGTTCAAATTCACAGCCTGGGCACAAGACGGAGAACACAAAAGACAAAGAACATTTAGGAAGGGGATCTCTCTATCAGGCACTGATACTAATATTGGTAAGAAACATACATTGGTGACTTTGAAATACAACTTGAAGTCAAAAAACACACAAAAAACATTGTCAAGCTGCGTATGGAACCCCCTGCTGGAAAAGTGTGGTAGCAGCACTTTAGAGTCATCATTATGACTTCAGCTGTAGTCTGTTCATTGCTATTCACCCGCTGTCCCATTGTCTGTTTCATGGCGTGATGATGGGACCCTTGAATGTGGCTTCTTTATCTGTACCTGTGAACTGGTTGGCTCGGGCCCGAATTTGGGGCACCCCTATCCCCGCCTGGGAGTCTCTTCAGCTTCTTCAGCCAGACTGATATCAGGCCTGGATCTACAGGCTCAGGCCTGGATAAAAAGGCTCAGTCCTCATTCTAGAGGCTCACGCCGGGTTCTACAGCCTCAGTCAAGTGGAAGAAAATGGATGGATGGTCTATGGTGATGTCACACTCGGTCAGTCCACTTACCTCTATGAAGAACTCTGAGCAGATGATGCATTCCAGCTCATTCTGCATGACCTCTGTCATCTGACTCACCACCTCCTCCCCTTTGGCCTTGGCCTTTTCCTTCTCCTCCTTTTTAGAACAAAAGCATTTAATTTCAGTGCTTTTCAGTGAAGAAGAACAAAGACACAGACATCGAACCTTCGTCACTTCCAATTCTTTATTTTTGGCCAGAAGCATCTCCTCAAAGCCTCGTCGGGACCGAGAGAGCTCATCCAACACTTTCTTTTGCTAAAACACAAAACACAATCTCACTTTAAAATAGGGATGTAAAAAACTACCGACCACCGAGCCTCATTAACCGGTTGAAACCGGTTAACCGCATAGTTAAAAATATTACAGCCATTTCGAGCCGCGTACTTCTCATAACTGCAGCTCTGCGTTCTACTGGACCAGAGCCGAGACAGCGGCGCCAAAACCCACAAAAGCTTCGGCACCTTTGCGCACAGAGAACTGCTTTTTTAATCTTCCCATTCTTCTGTGTTGCGGTTCCCAAAATACCACACACACTCATCAACAAAAGTTTACATACTTCCTACTCTGGAGAATGTGTGTGTGTCTGTGTAAGCATTTTTAAGCAAAAGACGGCTCGTTCACATGGTCAGAGCAGAGAGTGACGCGTCTCGCAGGTCTCCGCTGAAGTTTAAATACAATGTGTGTGGAGCTGATGACAAGGACCATAAACACAAACATGTTCCCATATGGTTTAACTGGAGCCCCGTATTTGGATCCTTTGGGCTGTGTGACACAGACGAGAGCGACAGACCGGTATGTGTGTAGTACGTGTGTATGTGTGTATGTGTGTGTAAATATAAGCTCCAATGTAGTTCTGACCTGCACCAGTGAGCAAGTTTGGCGGTAACAGAGGGGGGAGATGGTGCGTGTGGATGTTACGTATCAATGGAGGGGGGGGGAAAGTGTGTGTGTGTGTGTGTGCGTGCGTGCGGCAACAAAGTCGGCCCGTAGTTTACTGATTCATTGCCGCACACAGCTAGAGACGGACCCGCTCGTCACATCGTGCAAATAGGGCTTAAAATAGCGTTATGAGGAGACCTCCCCTCTCCCCCTTTTTCTCTTTTTTAACCGACAGCTTTGACCGGTTAACACTGTGACGGTCAACCACCGGTTAAACGGTCACCGATTTACATGCCTACTTTAAAAGCATAAAAAAAACGTTAATTCAATTTATTCACATAAAACATTTCTCTTTCAACTTTCTTGTGTTGCACAAGAGATTGTTGCAAATAAACAAATCTGACTTCACTGGTTTAAAACAAAAACAACAATAAAATGAATGAAGAGCAGAGAAACAATGAATAGAATATATATAATAAATAATAAAGAAAAAAAATGGGTTGAAGTGATAATAATGGTCTCTCTCTCACTCTTTCTGGTCTGGTCTAAGAATAATAATAACTATCATTATTAATTCAATAAAAATAATAAATCTATTTGTATATATAACTATTCTGACATAAGACCGCTGTTGATTGATCAAAACCCCATAAGGTAATTCTACGCTTCATAACAAAACAAAGGAAGGTTGCTCACCCATCATCTGTACTTCAGTTAGGTTTTCCATGATGGGTGAGAAACCTTCCTTTGTTTTGACTAATCCCTGTATGACTGAGATCTTAGGCAAACCTACGCTTTACAACATTATCAGCTGGAGACAGGCCACGCCCCCTTTCGTCATTATTATTATTGCTTCATAGGACAAACTAGTGAACAACGTTACTTACTTCTTTTAACGCTTCGTCGAGTTTCTGTTTCAGATGCACTTCTTGTTGCTGCTCTCTCTCTTGTTTTTTCTCTTCTTTCATCTGGTCTCTTCTGGTCTTTCTTTTTTGTTCCTTGAGATTCCCCCAAAATGAGATAATAAGTCATTTTCAGTTTAGATCAGTGGCTCTAAAGAGGAGCGGATTCAGGACCCACATCAACAAAGAACTGAGTCTGGAGTCTAAAGCAGTGTCCCCCAAGTGTCATTCATTCATTCACTCTGGTCCCTCCGTCCGCCCACTCTGGTCCGCACACTCTGGTCCGTCCGTCCGCACATTCTGGTCCCTCCCTCCCTCCGCACACTCTGGTCCCTCCGCCCACTCTGGTCCCTCTGCCCACTCTGGTCCCTCCGCCCACTCTGGTCCCTCCGCCCACTCTGGTCCCTCCGCCCACTCTGGTCCCTCCGCCCACTCTGGTCCCTCCGCCCACTCTGGTCCCTCTCTCTCTGGTCCAAACCATACAATAACAGTAAAAACGGTAATCATTATAATTTCTAAAATACATACTTACAGCCACTGCTTACCTCCAACTGCTGTTTTGCATTGTTAAAAGATAATTCTAGTGCCTTCATCTCTTCCATTTTGGCTCGTAGCGTGTCCAGTTGCCTCTGCCACTCTCGCTGCTCCTCCCTGTAGGGGGCGCTCTGCTGGGGCTGTCCCTCCAGAGAAGCAACACGCCTCTCCGTGCAGTCCACCTGCTCCCTCAGCATCAGGTTGTTCTGGCTGAACCTAAAACAGAAAAAAATAAATCATGCGTGTAGAATAATCATATGCATTGTAAGAGTTGTTATAAGGTTTCATATAAAATGTTATTTTTCAATTTATTTGGTTTGGAATATTTTTGTTTTTGCTAAAAGAAAGGAGTTTGTTATTACACTTAAATATATATATTTTTTGGTTTAATTTCATTACTGTAAGACGTTGTAAGAACTGGGGATTACGAGAGGCCCTCAGGTAGACAATACGCTCTCTCTAGCTCCAAGACCTCAGAGCGAGAGCCACTTTCACAGTGAGCAAGCAACTGTGTACGCTAAAACGCACACATAACGCTTTAAAGTTATGATGAAGACCTCCGAAGTGGCTGGTAATTTTATGTTTTCATTATTGTACCAAAGAGAACTTGTGTTTCATTGTATAATTCGTTTGTCCTGTAGTTTTCAAAACGTTAAAAAGACATTTATGACAATTGTGATGGTCAATAAATGCGCCTGTACTCGTGAAACCTTGTGCAGCGTTGTTATTGAGGAGCTACATGCATTGTTAAAGCTGGGCTACGGAACTTTCAAATCACAAAAAGCAACGTAATAGAATCCAATTCACAAACGTCTTCCTCTATAACAGTTTAGTCCTATCACTTGTTTTCACATATACAGGTGAAACTCTGAAAAATACAGTATTGTTTAAAAGTTTATCTATTTCTGTATTTCAACTTAAAATTTGAATAAATACATGCCAAGACTTAACTTATTGTTGACCTTTATTCACCAGGAAGACACAGATCTCAGAATCTATTATTCAGGGGCCCAAGGGAGGGGAGCAATTGTATACGTTTTTGGTGGTAGGGTAAAGCAAAGCACCCGAAGGAAACCTACTTATCCACAGGGAGAACATGCAAACTCCAATCTCTACGCTACTCTGATTGGGAGTGTTTCCACTGGCCCTGTTTAACCAGTACCAGGTCCTTCTTTAGTCCCTCATGGCCCTGATTCTACCCACGCCAAGCTGCTATTTAAATGTTATGTGATTGGCCAAAGAGCTACTGGAAGCCATGGTTACCAAACCTTCCAAGAATCCAAAACTTTGTAAACTGCTGTTGTGACTTACACAAATGCATTGAATTGTACTAAATACATCCAACCCCGAATGATGATCTGCCATTTCACAAACTTGAAAATGAAAAACAACTTCATTAAAAAGTTTCATCGTAATTGAGTACCTACATTTGTAAGTTGTCCACATCTTCTCTATTTTTGACGTTGGGGATTGGATGTTGGACTTTGTTCTCTGGTCTGGGTTCTCTGGGTTCCAAGGGTTCTATGGTCTGTATTGGACAAGGCTGTGCTGTAGACTTATCCACCCCAGAGGAGCGATACAGCTTGGGTTTGGAAGACGTAGAAGGCTCAATTTCATCAGTCATTTTCCTCTTGGGTTTTTTAAATAATCTGGGATGGTTAGGGGCTTCCATATCAGGCCGTAACAGAGAGCTTCTCACGTCGTTTAGCGGCCTCTTAACAAACTCATAGTCAAATTCTACAGAGTCTTTCACTGCGACCCCAAGCTGGATGGAGTCTCCGAGTCTGATCACGTGGGGCTTTTCTGGGGTGATTTGACGACCGTTCACCCATACTCCATTCAAGCTCTGAAAAAAATACAGTAATACATTTTTAAAAGAATCTGGTTACATTCTCTTTTGGTTTACATATCTATTACCCTAATTGTTTCCACAGGCCCTGTTTAACCAGTGCCAGGTCCTTTTTTAGTCCCTCTCTGGTCCTGGTTCCATCCAGGTTGAACTGGTACTAAAGTGTTCTAACTGACAGTGATTGGTCTTAGTGCTGCTGGAAGTAGTTGGTAGTTACCAGGGAATTACCATGGATACTAGTTTGCTGTGGGTAGGATATGGTACCAGGCACTAAAGTGTAATGAAAACGTACAGTACAATATTTTGATTACTTCACTCAGTTATCATCACGTTGACTGGTTTGGTGTGGAGAGATTAGGATACGGTACCAGATTCTAAAGTGTAATGAAAACACAACCAGGTAGAGTAGAGTAGAGTAGAGTATTTTTTTAGGCTGGTGTTGATGCAAACCACATATCTAAAGTTAAGACTTTACGAGGCAAATTCTCCCCTTCTAGCGACCTTAAATACACCTAGGGCTGGGCAATAAATTGAATTTGAGAAAAATGTGAAAATCGTGAAATTGAATGAAGGATGTTGTGAGAGTTCCAGCAGTACATTAATTATACTTGCAATATCAGCACAGTCTGTGCAAGGCTTTTATAATACGTATTGGGGGAAACAAATTAAAAATATTTTTGAAACTTGAATATTGAGGGGAAAGATTAAAACATATTTCTAAGGGCAAAGTCTGTCTTTGGTGACTTTAATGAAAATTGATTTAAAATCGAAATCGTCCAAAGCAAGAAATAAAATCAATATTTTACTTTTTTGCCATATCGCCCAGCCCTAAATACACCTGATTATCATAAAATAATCTCAAGATAATTCTGCTGTGTGTGGTGTCATCCGACTGCTCTCTTCTGCTCTACAGCAGGCATTATAGGGTTATAGCGGTGTGTCCAAACATTTTTTGTAAGAGGGCTACATACTAACCAGACTGTACACGGGCCGACTACCCGCATCATAAAACTGTTTTGACTGGATTCAGGATGTTCTGAGCTTTAAAATGAGCTATAATGGAGCTGAAGTTGGATGACGGACAAATGTTTACCATCTCTCCAGCAACATTAGATCCACTGACAGAATTTTGTGACACAATCAAAAACAAAGGCTGAAGTCTAGAGGTTCTGAGATTTACAACAAAGTAATAGCTGAGCTGAAGTTGGCTGGTTGACACTGAACAAAAGGCGACTCAGAGACAGAGGGCCATAGAAATGACACAGAGGGCCTGGACATGCCTGGGTTATAGTATTGCACAGACACTAGCAACAATCTGTCCACTAATGCAAAGTCAATGAACAATAATCAATGTGTAGAAACTAGAGTTTAACTGAGCAACCAATCTTTTTGTCCCTTTAAACAAAAAAAAAAGGCCTTACTTTTCTGTCCGTGACGGTCCACGCTCCATCTTCTCGCAGTTTAAAAGAGCAATGTAGCCGGGAGAGCATGAGTGGGTAGGTCAGAGATATTATTGGGTATGTCACATCCATCCCTCGTCCAACAGTGATCTGCAAGTGATCAGAAACAGATAAGAATAGTGCTGTGAAGATGTTTGATGACCAAGGTGTAAGTACTGCAGAATGAAACAGAAAAGCAACCAATTTGTTTTATCTCATCTCTATAAACACTAGGACTCCCTGAATAATGAAACTACTAGAACTTTCAGAGCCATCATTTTGACTGCTCCCATTCAAACCAAAGGAATTCTGCTGCAAGTAAACAGAGTGCTGCCATGGTAACTGGCACTCTTCTCTGGTGTAAAAGTATCCTGAACATAGACTGTATATATTAACGGACAGAGTCACGCCTATCTCCGCCGTTCTAACTAATGGGCCAAAAAATGAGCTCTACTGGAGCTCTCCAAAATGGCCGCGAGTGGTCCCCCACAAGAAAATTGTGAAAAAACCGCATCTGCGCATGCGTCAGCCGGCGCAGCTCCATTCATTTGAACGAGAGACTTCAAAAATTCACAGCAAGTAAACTAGAGTGGTCCAAAAAAATCCACCCCCCTCAGCATTGACACACATGTGGAACGGAACTTTGGGCCAAGAGCCAACTTTTGGTCCATCCTGTAAAGACGTTTTTGAGAGGTCTGCCAATGCTATATGTTAGCATTGGCTAATTTCTTTTTCTGGGTCCACCCCCATGCAAGCATGTCAGCGCACGTCATTTTGGCCACTTTTGAGCTGGGACCCGCCCCCACTGATCCTGAACCAGGACCAGCACCTTGAAGAGAAATGGCTGTAACACTGCGTACATTAATTATACATTCAAATCTGTGATTTAAGGTAGAACTACTCAGATAAAGTGGCGGCACGGTGGCTGAGTGGATAGCACTCTCGCTTCTCAGCAAGAAGGTCCTGGGTTTGAATCCCGGTTGGAACAGGGCCTTTCTGAGTGGAGTTTGCATGTTCTCCCCGTGTCTGCGTAGGTTTCCTCCGGTACTCCGGTTTCCCCTACCACTAAAAACATGCACAATAGTTCTGGCATGTGCCTCCTGTACTGGCGACCCCGCTCCCATCTCTGTGTGGAGTGAGAGACAAATGCCCAGAAATAACTATTGTAAACCGCTTTGTGACTCAGATCTGTGAAAGGCGGTATATAAATAATGATTACTTACTTACTTATAAAAAAAGAAAAGATAATTTTATAGAAAAAAAACAACATATAAAAACAGGAAAAGTCACAAAGTTATGAAGAGCAAAAATGTACATGAGATGTGTAATTACACTTCCAAGACTCGTCAGATTGACTTCTCTGGGAGTTCTAGTGTTCTGAGACAGGATAAAAAAATGCCACGTCTTTGGCCATTTGTTAGAGCTAACCTATTAATTCAATGTATAACTAATGATTTAATTTATTATCAAAATAGTAGTTCATTACAGTCCTAGTTTTTATCCTGTGGCGAAAAGTTGGTGAGGGGAAAATCCTTTCTGTGTGAAGAAGTTATGCAAGTCTATCCTTCCTGCTATCAGACTGTACAATGAACACTAAACACTGTGTCATTCACCTGTACTCATGTGCAATAATGTAGAATGTAAGTATGTGCACTATGGTGTCTCATGTATCAGCGTTCCCTACTCCTGCTGGTCGTGTGCAGCAAGAGCAACATAAACATTTCTCCACTTTGGGAGAAATAAAGGTGCAATAACATCAGAAAGTACAATATACCAAATACCACAATGTGTCCACTACATACTAACATGTACAGTAAATCACATGCTGCCAACATGTACAGTAGTATCACATGCTGCCAACATGTACAGTAGTATCACATGCTGCCAACATGTACAGTAGTATCACATGCTGCCAACATGTACAGTAGTATTACATGCTGCCAACATGTGCAGTAGTATCACATGCTGCCAACATGTACAGTAGTATCACATGCAGTTAACATGTACAGTAAATCACATGCTGCTAACATGTACAGTAGTATCACATGCTGCTAACATGTACAGTAGTATCAGATGCTGTTAACATGTACAGTAGTATCACATGCTGTTAACATGTACAGTAAATCACATGCTGTTAACATGTACAGTAAATCACATGCTGCTAACATGTACAGTAAATCACATGCTGCTAACATGTTCTGTAGTATCACATGCTGCTAACATGTACAGTAGTATCAGATGCTGCTAACATGTACAGTAAATCACATGCTGCTAACATGTACAGTAAATCACATGCTGTTAACATGTACAGTAAATCACATGCTGCTAACATGTACAGTAAATCACATGCTGTTAACATGTACAGTAAATCACATGCTGTTAACATGTACAGTAAATCACATGCTGCTAACATGTACAGTAGTATCAGATGCTGCTAACATGTACAGTAAATCACATGCTGTTAACATGTACAGTAGTATCACATGCTGCTAACATGTACAGTAAATCACATGCTGTTAACATGTACAGTAAATCACATGCTGTTAACATGTACAGTAGTATCACATGCTGTTAACATGTACAGTAAATCACATGCTGTTAACATGTACAGTAGTATCACATGCTGTTAACATGTACAGTAAATCACATGCTGCTAACATGTTCTGTAGTATCAGATGCTGCTAACATGTACAGTAAATCACATGCTGTTAACATGTACAGCAAATCACATGCTGCTAACATGTACCGTAGTATCACATGATGCTAACATGTACAGTAAATCACATGCTGTTAACATGTACTGTAAATCAAATGCTGCTAACATGTACAGTAGTATCAGATGCTGCTAACATGTACAGTAAATCACATGCTGTTAACATGTACAGTAAATCACATGCTGCTAACATGTACAGTAAATCACATGCTGTTAACATGTACAGTGAATCACATGCTGTTAACATGTACAGTAAATCACATGCTGCTAACATGTACAGTAAATCACATGCTGTTAACATGTACAGTAAATCACATGCTGTTAACATGTACAGTAAATCACATGCTGCTAACATGTACTGTAGTATCACATGCTGCTAACATGTACAGTAGTATCAGATGCTGCTAACATGTACAGTAAATCACATGCTGCTAACATGTACAGTAGTATCACATGCTGCTAACATGTACAGTAAATCACATGCTGTTAACATGTACAGTAAATCACATGCTGCTAACATGTACAGTAGTATCAGATGCTGCTAACATGTACAGTAAATCACATGCTGCTAACATGTACAGTAAATCACATGCTGCTAACATGTACAGTAGTATCACATGCTGCTAACATGTACAGTAAATCACATGCTGTTAACATGTACAGTAAATCACATGCTGCTAACATGTTCTGTAGTATCACATGCTGCTAACATGTACAGTAGTATCAGATGCTGCTAACATGTACAGTAAATCACATGCTGTTAACATGTACAGTAAATCACATGCTGCTAACATGTACAGTAAATCACATGCTGCTAACATGTACTGTAGTATCACATGCTGCTAACATGTACAGTAGTATCAGATGCTGCTAACATGTACTGTAAATCACATGCTGTTAACATGTACAGTAAATCACATGCTGCTAACATGTACTGTAGTATCACATGCTGCTAACATGTACAGTAGTATCAGATGCTGCTAACATGTACTGTAAATCACATGCTGTTAACATGTACAGTAAATCACATGCTGCTAACATGTACAGTAGTATCATATGCTGCTAACATGTACAGTAAATCACATGCTGTTAACATGTACAGTAAATCACATGCTGTTAACATGTACAATAAATCACATGCTGCTAACATGTACAGTAAATCACATGCTGCTAACATGTACAGTAAATCACATGCTGCTAACATGTACTGTAGTATCACATGCTGCTAACATGTACAGTAGTATCAGATGCTGCTAAACTGTACAGTAAATCACATGCTGTTAACATGTACAGTAAATCACATGCTGCTAACATGTACTGTAGTATCAGATGCTGCTAACATGTACTGTAAATCACATGCTGCTAACATGTACTGTAGTATCACATGCTGCTAACATGTACAGTAGTATCAGATGCTGCTAACATGTACTGTAAATCACATGCTGTTAACATGTACAGTAAATCACATGCTGCTAACATGTACTGTAGTATCACATGCTGCTAACATGTACAGTAGTATCAGATGCTGCTAACATGTACTGTAAATCACATGCTGTTAACATGTACAGTAAATCACATGCTGCTAACATGTACAGTAGTATCAGATGCTGCTAACATGTACAGTAAATCACATGCTGTTAACATGTACAGTAAATCACATGCTGTTAACATGTACAATAAATCACATGCTGCTAACATGTACAGTAAATCACATGCTGCTAACATGTACAGTAAATCACATGCTGCTAACATGTACTGTAGTATCACATGCTGCTAACATGTACAGTAGTATCAGATGCTGCTAAACTGTACAGTAAATCACATGCTGTTAACATGTATAGTAAATCACATGCTGCTAACATGTACAGTAGTATCACATGCTGCTAACATGTACTGTAAATCACATGCTGTTAACATGTACAGTAAATCACATGCTGCCAACATGTACAGTTGTTTCATCATTGTGAATATTTTAACTCACAGAGCTAATGACATATTACTTTTATGGCTGACATTTCCCCACTGTGGAAGGATCTTAATAATCTAAATCTTAAATCTATATGCACATGTCAACAAACTACTTAACAAGTGAGTATAGATGGAAAGACGAGATTTTCCATAAATAGTAAAATATGTTTTTAGCAGATCATGACTTCAGTGACGCTAACTAGCCTACAGTGGTTAGCATTAGCATTAGCATCACACCTCACAGTTCTCCCAGAGGCGCAGCCAGCCCGAGCTGTTGTTCACTCTCATCAGGCAGAAGACCTCCGGGTTCTCCGGGTCCTCTGCAGCCGCACCGCACTGTGGACTCGGATTCTCCATCTCACACGACCATCCACAGTCTCATCCTATCATGCCTCAAACAAGCTGCAACTTTTGGCTCCTGCAAAAAAACTAACAAAACATACCCACGTCACCGGAAAACTACAAAATAAAACTTCCGCTACAACTTGTCAATAATTTTTTTTAAATTATTGTTATTATGATTATTGTTTCTGTTATTATGGAATTCGTTCGTGCATTTAATTCAATAATGTATTTAATATCAAAAAGTTGTGTGCCTAAGAGCTTATAAATCACAACAACAAACTAAATGCCCTGTTTCCACCGGCCCTATACTCAACTCCACTCAAATCTACTTGGCCCTAATCGACTCTACATTATTCTCTTCTTGGCCCTCCCCTCCCTCCCCTACTCTACGCTCCTCTACATTTCTCTACATCACTCTCTACTTGGCACTACTCTATTCTACATTACTCTACTTTACTATACAATAAAGTTTATCTCATCTTGTCTATACATTACTCTATTTTACTCTACTTGGCCCTACTCTGCTCTACATTACTCTCTACTTGGCCCTACTCTACTCTAATCAACTCTTTTCTACTCTACTCGTCTCTACTCTACCGCAGCTCCGGGAGGGGAAGTTGAGTACCAAAAACAAAAAAACCTAACCTGCAAGCTGAATTCTCGCGGTATTTGTGAGTTCACAAACATTCGAGAATACAGCTTGCCCCGCTCCCGCCAACCCTTTTCGAGTAGAACATCTAGGTGTTCAAGCCAATCACGCGCCAGTCTGGGGGTTTAGGGCGGGATATCCGGGTTTGACAAAAGCAAGAAGTGCTGAAGCAAAACAAACACGGCTACGCAGGAGGACGGACGCGTAGCTGAGGCTATAAGGTCAGTTTTAGCAGAATCTCCAATTTCATTTTTGAAAGATGAACAGCGAGAGGCGCTTTGTGCATTTCTGGACGGCAAAGATGTTACCGGGATTGGTTTAAGTCAAACCTTGGTAGGCGGGCACACAGCGTCACTTCGTCCAATCAGCTTGAAGTATTCTGCTGCTTATCCCTCCTTTCCCCGGAAGGATTGTCCTGCCGAAATCCCAGATTGATATTGTGGAGAACGCATTAGAGTTCTACACAATCATCAATCTGGCTCTTGCCAGGTTAAAAAAAACCATGAACAATTTGAATACGGACTACAAATGGAAAGTAGCATGGTGCTAAATCTGGTGTAGCCATCTTTTTAATGCTACTGCACATTGTCCTTAATAAATTAAACTTAAACTTAAATAAAGTGCATTTTTATATATCCGTTACACAGGGCCAGTGGAAACACTCCCAATCGGAGGAGAGTAGAGTAGAGGAGAGTAGAGCAGAGTAGAGTATGGATGAGTAGATTAGAGTACAGTAGGACCAAGCCAGGCTGGTGGAAACAGGGCTTAATTAAGTATACCAGCTGTTACGCTTGTGTGTTATGTGAGTAAATGGTGGTGGGAGCGGTCATAAGGAGTTAATTACACATATACGTTCATTCACAACTGTCTTAAATCACATTCAGAGTGAGAGTACTTTATTTATCCCACCAGGGAGAAGTAGTTTTAGCAGGATAGGACATAAAAACACAGGATATGCCACTTTTCTGCACGTTGCATGTTTACCTGATGTACCAAGCTTAGCTGCCATATATATTTTTTTCAATTGTTCTTTACCTCGTCAGATACACAGCTGAAGGAAGATCAGAAGTCGTCTTCACTGCCAGTTTGACTTAATGTTTTAGATTTGTTTTAGTCTGTTTAATGAACGCACTGAGGATCTGAGGACTAGTCCCCGATCTGAATTGTGATTTTGGGTGACACAAATTCAATTGAATAGAATAGATGAAGTGGTCTCTCTCTCTGGTTTCTCTGTGGTCTCTCAATGGTCTCTCTAGTCTCTCTGTTTCTAGCCTCCATCTCTGGTCTCTCTCTCTGGTCTCTCTCTGGTCTCTCTCTCGCTCTCTCCCTCCCTCTCCCTCCCTCTCCCTCTCTCTCTCTCTCTCTCTCTCTCTCTGCTCTCCCTCGGCTCTCTCTTTTAATCTGGACTCACTTGATTCATTTGGTGTTGTCTGTCTCTGCTGCGCTCCTGCTTGGTTGGAATGAAAACCCACAGCACAATTGCGTTTGTCCAATCGTTGTTACCGTAGTTAGTCTCCGCCCACGCATGCGCATAGTGCATGGTGGCTCCAATTTGGCACAGACCCAGATCGGGTAATGATCGAGAACTTGGGAGATCCTCAGGCTGGAGCAGGAGCAGAACCTGCGGGGTGCTGGGCTGGGGGAAGCCGCTGACCACATCCTCTGTCTCCGGGTGGGACTTCCTCTTGAGGTGGAGGCGGCGTTAGGGCTGGGTGTCACCGGGCTGTGTGTGTGGAGATCCGCGACCACCTCTGTCCTCCGATGACTGACCATAACGTGGAGATGAGCTGACCACCCCCTCAGGTGCCAACATGTCTGATGTCAACAAGAGTGTCCAGAAATGGCACGCCAGCTTCCGAAAAGCGACCGACTTTGACTCATGGGGACAGTTAGTGGAGGCGATCGATGAGTATCAAATGTAAGTGATGTTCAACATGTGGTTAACGCCCTGAGCTCCTCTCGTCTTGGTCTGAGAGTCTTTCAGAAATTAGATGCATATTTCCATAGATCAACTTGTGTTTCCAAAGTGTCTGTCTGTAAATGACGCCATGGGGCAGGATCGTCCTTTAGGCTGTGCCCGATCAGTCCAGGGGCCTCACATGGGGGACCTGCGCTGTGGATGTAGATGCAGTGTGTGTCCGGTTTATGCAGAATACTTCAGGCCAATATCCCCGTGAGGATGAAGAAACAGTCCGCCACACCCTCTGATGTTCTGGCTCAAGAACGCTGCTCTCTGTTCACAGCAATATGTTGTTTTGTTTCACACTGGGACCTTGTGAGGAGTTTTAGTCCAGGCAGATTACCTGATTTTGGAGCCAGAATTTTTGTTGACCTAGAACCAGGAGGCACCATAACATCAGCAGTGGCTTCCTGTGGCTCAGAGAATAGACTTTAAAGCAGATCTGCACCAAAGTACATCTATATGAACCAACTCAGACTCTGGGGAGCACAGGGACTGGCCTGTTGCGAATAACATGTTACAAAAGTAATATAATTGCTGTAATTTATTTATTTTTTGCTGTAACATAGTAATGCAGCATTCTAAAACAAAAACTTGGGTAATATCTGACTTGGTACAGAGGTCAGTAATGTTGTATTTTGTATATCAAACAAAATTCCTTGGATTTGTTGTGGTTCTAGACATGTAGACTATTACAATTAGTTCATAGCAAAACACAATTTAACGGCACTATAATAATAATACAATATTTTCTAATGTGTTTCTATTTATATTTATTTTTTCAGCCTGGCAAGACAACTGCAGAAAGAAGTTCAGACTCCCAGTTCCAAAGATTTCAGCGAAGAGCAGAAGGTACAGTAAAAGAGAGTTTAATTAATTTAATTAGTGGGTGTTGGTGTATTAAATATGAACAGACGTGACGTAGTGACGCTTATTTCTTCTGTTAAAAATGGATGTGCCACAGTCATGGGCAGATTTCAAATGGCCGCGGGAAGCCCCTACGCAGGAAAATGTGTGCGTTTTTTCACATTTTCTGTGGGAAAAAGGCTGCACTCATTAAATGAATGAGCCCCATTTTTTTAACGAGTGCATTCAAAAGTCCACAGCGGCTAAACATAGACTGGTCCCAAAAAATACTCCCCTCAGAGCTCGTTCCGGTTGCTCCACCACCGGCAAGGAGTGAGATTGCAGCATGTCAGCACACATTCTCATGGACATGGTATTAGTATTAGATAGCAATATGGCCTACGTGCAGGACTGTACAAGGACTCTACAAGGACTCCATGTTATGACTATGATTTGACTGTCTCTTTGTGACACGTATGTCTTTCGATGTGTGACGTGACAATGACTATATAAACTGTGTACTGCCTTTATTCTGTCTGAGGAAAAGAAACAGAGTAAAACAGTGGAACTTGAGAGCAACTTAAATAAACTTCCAGAGTTTGGCACACCACGATCCGTCTCTGTCTGCTAAATCCTAACAGATTTGGTGGAGAATGCGCGGCTCCGTGTGTGCCATTCTCTGGATTGTTTTGAGGGAATTTTCTGTTTCTTTTTTTCGGCGTGTGGGAGCAACAGCACGTTATCTGGAAGGGGAGAAATCCCAGCGGACGCTGAAAGGGCTCGCTTTTGGATGGGCTTGCTCTTGCTCCCTCACTTTCTCTGTTTTGTTTTTTAAATTGAATATTTTCCGACGCGGAAAAGAGTTGGCAGACCTCTCGGACAGTCCTTGGAACCGGTTTGACAAGAATAAGGTAAGCAGACACCTTTTTTAATATGTAAAGTCTGCATAATTGGATATTAGCTAAATTTTGGTCTGTTTTTTGGGGTCTGTCAAACTCTCTAAATTGTATTTTGAAGAAGCCTCGGGGTTAAAGTCCCTTTGAGAAAGTCTCGGGGTTAAAGTCCCTTTGGTCTCTCTGGTCTCTCTGCTCTCTCTCTGCTCTCTCTGCTCTCTCTCTGCTCTCTCTGCTCTCTCTGGTCTCTCTCTGCTCTCTCTCTGTTCTCTCTCTGTTCTCTCTCTGCTCTTTCTCTGTTCTCTCTCTGCTCTCTCTCTGCTCCCTCTCTGCTCTCTCTCTGCTCTCTCTGCTCTCTCTCTGCTCCCTCTCTGCTCCCTTTCTGCTCTCTCTCTGCTATCTCTGCTCTCTCTCTGCTCCCTCTCTGCTCTCTCTCTGCTCCCTCTCTGCTCTCTCTCTGCTCTCTCTCTGCTCTCTCTCTGCTCTCTCTGCTCTCTCTCTGCTCCCTCTCTGCTCCCTCTCTGCTCTCTCTCTGCTATCTCTGCTCTCTCTCTGCTCCCTCTCTGCTCTCTCTCTGCTCCCTCTCTGCTCTCTCTCTGCTCTCTCTCTGCTCTCTCTCTGCTATCTCTCTGCTCTCTCTCTCTGGTCTCTCTGCTCTCTCTCTGCTCTCTCTCTGCTCTCTCTGCTCTCTCTGCTCTCTCTCTGCTCTCTCTGCTCTCTCTCTGCTCTCTCTGCTCTCTCTCTGCTCTCTCTGCTCTCTCTCTGCTCTCTCTCTGTTCTCTCTCTGTTCTCTCTCTGCTCTTTCTCTTTTCTCTCTCTGCTCTCTCTCTGCTCCCTCTCTGCTCTCTCTCTGCTCCCTCTCTGCTCCCTCTCTGCTCTCTCTCTGCTATCTCTGCTCTCTCTCTGCTCTCTCTGCTCTCTCTCTGCTCTCTCTCTGCTCTCTCTCTGTTCTCTCTCTGTTCTCTCTCTGTTCTCTCTCTGCTCTCTCTCTGCTCTCTCTCTGCTCTCTCTCTGCTCCCTCTCTGCTCTCTCTCTGCTCTCTCTGCTCTCTCTCTGCTCCCTCTCTGCTCTCTCTCTGCTATCTCTGCTCTCTCTCTGCTCCCTCTCTGCTCTCTCTCTGCTCTCTCTCTGCTCTCTCTCTGCTCTCTCTCTGCTCTCTCTCTGCTATCTCTGCTCTCTCTCTGCTCTCTCTCTGGTCTCTCTGCTCTCTCTCTGCTCTCTCTGCTCTCTCTCTGCTCTCTCTGCTCTCTCTGCTCTCTCTCTGCTCTTTCTCTGTTCTCTCTCTGCTCTCTCTCTGCTCTTTCTCTGCTCTCTCTCTGCTCCCTCTCTGCTCTCTCTCTGCTCTCTCTCTGCTCCCTCTCTGCTCTCTCTCTGCTCTCTCTCTGCTCTCTCTCTGCTCTCTCTGCTCTCTCTCTGCTCCCTCTCTGCTCTCTCTCTGCTCTCTCTCTGCTATCTCTGCTCTCTCTGCTCTCTCTCTGCTCCCTCTCTGCTCTCTCTGCTCTCTCTGCTCTCTCTCTGCTCCCTCTCTGCTCTCTCTCTGCTCTCTCTCTGCTCCCTCTCTGCTCTCTCTCTGCTCTCTCTCTGCTCTCTCTGCTCTCTCTCTGCTCCCTCTCTGCTCTCTCTCTGCTCTCTCTCTGCTCTCTCTGCTCTCTCTGCTCTCTCTCTGCTCCCTCTCTGCTCTCTCTCTGCTCTCTCTCTGCTCTCTCTGCTCTCTCTCTGCTCTCTCTCTGCTCTCTCTCTGCTCTCTCTCTGCTCTCTCTCTGCTCTCTCTCTGCTCTCGCTGGTCTTTCTTTGGTGTCTGTTTTTTAAAGAAAGTTTGCTCTTTTTTTCAGAAAACCTTGGGCAAAATTGCGACATGTCTGGAAATGAGAGGTGCCAGTTTACAGGTTGGTGAGTTTTATGTTGTAATAAAACAGAAATAGAGTAGGAAAACAGCTGTATTTATTCTGTGTTGCTTCTTTAGATAATGCAGGTGAACCATGTGTGTATAGTAGAGATAAGAGTGTGACTGCGTTTGCTAGAGTTTTAGTATTAACTTTAGAGGAACTTCCTGGTAAAAGAGAAAAATCAAGGGAAAAACATTTAAAAAGTAATCTGGAAAATGACCAAAGCCTCATTCCCACTACGTGAAAATATATTACATACTGTCCTTTTAAAGAAAGAACCTGACCTTTTGTAATCTCTGTTCTATTGCAGTGCAGTGCTCAGGCAAAGGATGAATTTAAACTGGAAGACCTGAAGACTTTGGAAAATAGTAAGTTTTATAAATAGCAACAGTATGCAGCTAAAATCTGGAACAGTCTTCCTGATAATGTGAGACAGGCTTCTACTCTGATAATGTTCAAATCCAGGTTAACAACAGTTCTGTTTTGCTGCAACAACTGAAGCATTGTATCTTCACTCTTGTAAATGCAGTAATTTATTCATATTTTGTTTAGCGCTCTCTGAGTGGCCGTGTATATGAACTGTGCTCTACAAATAAACTTGCCTCAGTCACAAAGAGGGAACTGTAACTGTGTGAATGTAAGATTGATTAAAATACTGTTTTTGTGTTGATTGTTTGCAGTTATTCTAGACATTTTGACGTATAACAAAGAGTTCCCGTTCGATGTGCAGCCTGTGCCGTCGCGGTAAGATATTATTATTGTTCATGTTTTGATAAAAATCACTTCTTATTGGGTAAACCATTGAGAATTACCCCCATGTCCACTGCCACATACTGCACCCCCATGTTCACTGCCACGCACTGCACCCCCTTGTCCACTGCCACACACTGCACCCCATGTTCACTGCCACATACTGCACCCCCATGTTCACTGCCACATACTGCACCCCCATGTCCACTGCCACATACTGCACCCTCATGTCCACTGCCACATACTGCGCCACCATGTCCACTGCCACATACTGCACCCCCATGTCCACTGCCACATACTGCACCCTCATGTCCACTGCCACATACTGCACCCCCATGTCCACTGCCACATACTGCACCCTCATGTTCACTGCCACATACTGCACCCCCATGTCCACTGCCACATACTGCACCCTCATGTCCACTGCCACATACTGCACCCCCTTGTCCACTGCCACATACTGCACCCACCTTGCGGAGAAACTATAAACTATGTCTAATTCTCAGTAAATGTTGAAATATTCGGACTTTCGTTCACATCTTTTCAGTAAAGTGTAATTAAAGTCAACAGTAGCATGAGACTAATGTGTTTGTGTGCCTGTTTTTGTGGGGGCAGTAAGATCCTGGCCCCTGGAGAGGAGGAGAACTTGGAGCTGGAGGGAGAGGAAGACCCAGCGGCAGGACATGGATCTGTGGACACGTTCTCGCCACGTGCCCCTGGTAAGAACCCTCCATTGCTCTCCTCTACCGCGTGTTCATGGTTGCATCTTTTGCGTAGGTACATTGCTGCCTCAGTTACCATCGGAGCCTGGAATGACCCTCCTCACCATCACCATAGAGAAGATCGGCTTGAAGGACGCGGGCCAGTGCATCGACCCCTACATGACCATCAGCATCAAAGGTTTACTCCTGTTTCTCATATTTACTTCTGTGGATAAAGAGACTGTGTTTGGAGCAGTTATAGAAGGGACAGTGGTCATCTCGCCCCCGAAGGACCAATGGCCCCTATGTGTTTGAGGACTTTGTAAAGTCCTCAAAGACTACTGCTGTTAGAGCAATACACAAATACATTGAATTGAATTTAGTGTATCCCTGAATTACAACAGTAGCTGTCTCAGAGTTATTTACAAATTTGTGGATTTGCCAACAACAGATCAGAGAATCAAACGGTTTGAACAAAGGGGATGCAATTATATCAAACACATAGGAGGCTGTAGACCCAGGACTGAGGCTGTAGATCCAGGACTGAGGCTGTAGACCCTGGACTGAGGCTGTAGATCCAGGACTGAGGCTGTAGATCCAGGACTGAGGCTGTAGATCCAGGACTGAGGCTGTAGATCCAGGACTGAGGTTGTAGATCCAGGACTGAGGCTGAATGGTTTGCTTTCAGATGTGAATGGAGTGGATTTGAACCCAGTGCAGGACACACCTGTGGCCTCGAGAAAAGAAGACACCTTCATCCACTTTAACGTCGACGTGGAAGTGCAGAAGCATGTGGAGAAACTGCCCAAAGGTAAACACAACTTCAGAAACATTTTACAGTCAAATGTTTTCTCATAGTAAAAATAGTGTTCAAACAATAGTGTTCAAACAAATGTTCACAAAAGATATATCTCACTGTATTTTATCCATATGTAGTTAAATGTTAAGTTAGATTTCTCTTACTATCTGTGACAGTTAGATGCCCTGTTTCCACCAGTCCTGCCCTTCTCACTCGAATCTACTGTACTCTACCCTACTCTGATTGTGAGTGTTTACATCAGCTTACCGAGCACTTTCCACAGATATTGGTTTGTTGTGGGTAGGTTGCTAGGATACAGTACCAGATACTTAATGGAAACAGGCGTAGAGCAGAGTAGGACAGGGCTACATGGACCATAATCCATCTGTCCCAGGCCATCTGAGACACAGTCACTCCAGTGTGTCCTGGGTTGAGACATGCCCAGGGAGTCATCCAGTAGCCATCCCAAACAGATGCCTGAATCACCTCAACTAGCTACTCTCCAGGTGGAGGGCAGTGGCTCCGAGCTCCTCACTCATGTGGAACGATTGTAACCGCAATCTCGTCCTTTTAGTCATTGCCCAAAGCTTATGACCAGACTCTGTTGCTTCATTTAAAGGTGCGCATCAAACAGTCTGTCAGAGCAGGATCCAGACTTTCCTCTCCCCAGACACTTAGAGCTTAGTTATGTTCTGATACTTGAATAATGTTTGCACACTTATTTTCACTGAAGTTAATGCTTTTTCAGGAGCAGCCATTTTCTTTGAATTCAAGCACTACAAACCGAAGAAGAGGTTCACCAGCACAAAGTGTTTCTCCTTCATGGAACTGGACGAGATCAAACCAGGTCCAATCGTCATCGAACTGTAAGAGCACTTAAAGACAGCAGGGGTCTCAAACTCAGTGTATCTGGGAGCCATATGAGGTCGAGTCTGGGTGAAGCTGGGTATTAAGGGGTATTTTTACCATGAGTTTGTGTGTGCGCAAAATATATAAACATCAGAGCAAACAGAGCTATGACACTCACACATGCAGATGTAGAATATGCTTTTTCACTTTGCACAGTTTGCTCCTGGATAAACATTATAGTACCTCCACATCTCAAACTGTCCTTTAACAAAAACAGTAGATGAAAGGAAACATTTGTGCTTTTAGAACAGAGAGAACAACAAAAACCCTAAAAGATCACAATTTAGTGATTTAAATTTATTTGGTTATTTTCTCCCAAAATAGTCTTATGCGACATCATTCTGCTGTTGTGTAGGTACAAGAAGCCCACGGATTTCAAGAGGAAGAAACTGCAGCTGTTGACAAAGAAGCCTCTGTATCTTCACCTGCATCAGACGCTACAGAAGGACAGCTAAGCCCCGCCTCCTGCAGGAAGAGGACAGCTAAGCCCCGCCTCCTGCAGGAAAAGGACAGCTAAGCCCCACCTCCTGCAGGACGACCAGAAGGACATGTCTCAGCCACATGTTTGTGTTGTTAGTCCCTCGTCTTCCACACGCGATGAAGCAGGTGCTGATCCACGTTGTTTATGGCCTTATCTTTTGTTTATGAGAATGATTCATAAACAGTTGGAGTTATGGCTTGAGCAAAATACATGAATACTGAAGGTCTTGTGACTTGAAATTGCCACAAAAATGTTTGCTAATCAAATCCTTCTCACAAGGAGCAGTTACAGCCATGGTCCCAGTAGCCCCAGTTCCACCAGCCCGACTCAATCTGGTACCGGACACTGGCAACCGACAGAAAGAAACCAATATCTGGGGACATTCCTGGTAACCATGGCTTCCAGCAGCACTCTGACCAATCAGAACACTTAGGTTCCTCTTGGCCCTGGTTATATTCAGATCAAGCTGTCACCATAGCTTGATCTGAATATAACCAGGGTCAAGAGGGACCAGGCAGTGGTTAAACAGGGCCTGTGGAAACACTACTTGTCAGGGAAGATTAGAGCAGAGCCGAGTAGGGCTGGTGGAAACGGGGCTTTAGAGAACATCCAGCTCCTGTTCAGTTTGTCTGAAGATCCACGCGCAGGAGCCTGTGTCTCGAAGCAGCTGTCACATCTGAATGAGAAGATTCATCACTTCACAATGAGGTCAATGTGTGGCTTAAAAAAAAGCAACTATTGACTGTCAGTTTAAAACACTTTGTTCACATGGAGGAATGAACTCTAAAGGATTCGAACTTCACATGGTTCTAAAACCCTGAATGTCCTGATTAAAGGTTAAAATCCAGTGTTTTATTCTGACATTGCTGCATGTTCATGTTTAACTTTAGCTTCTATTTTTAAATGTTTTGTCAAACTCTGTAAATAAATAAGATACAGAAACATTAACATTATGGCAATAAGTGAAGTTTGGGAGGTCTGTTCATTTATAATAAAAGTAAAATCCAGTTTATTTTCAAATCTTTTTGCTGTTTTATCTGCCATCGTCATGTTTGGTCATTCTGGGTCATTTGTGGGCTTTGAGTAGAAATGACCCATGTGTGGCACCACTTGCAGCTGAAAACCAGATCACATTAGATCTTCGAAGCTCAGCAGGGCAGGCCCTGTTGGCACTGTGTTGGGAGACCTCGGAACACCAGGTGGCATAGTAGCACAGCTGTACAGTGTCCTGTGGCAAGGCGCTTTCAGCCAGATTAGATTGGCACATACTGGTTGCCTCCCTTCTGTCACTTTTCCCCAGGGCAGCTGTGGCTACAGTTAATCACCGCTGTAGTGTCTGATTGTCCAGAAGTGCTGTATAAAACTTCAGTCATAATGCAGTGTGACAGAATGTGTAGAGTGGCATCTTTTACATTCTTTATTAAAACTACAACATAGTAAAATAAGTTACATCTGGCCATCAGTTTATAGTCCATTCTCAAGCAACAATTGGAAAGAGTGGATTTCCTGAAATGCTCAAAGCCAAATTTCCTTTTTAAAAATAATTTCCACAGGAAATGACATTAACACTGCCCCTTTAAAAGAATGCTCTTCACAACTTAAAAGATGAGTCCAACATGTTTGACGTTATTGCACATAAAGCTGTGGTTCTCATGTTTCCCCCATGGGTCTGTGCGATGTCAGAACAGAGGGTTTGCTCACGTTTGAAAGTCAAAAGGTGCAAAAAGGGTGATTTCCCCATAACAGTCAAACAGATCAGCCATTATGGCAGAGGGCAGGGACTGTGGTCAAACCCTGTGAGTCTGTGTCTGTAAGAGAGTCCCGGTCCTGCTCCAGTCCTGCTCCAGTTCAGTGTGGCTGTGGGGTTAAGGCTCGGCCCCAGCGGCAGCATCAGGACTCTCCGTGTTGCTGTGAGCACCGGTGCTCTGGAAGGAATCTGGAGGAGCATAGGGGCCACTATGAGGAGGCAGGGCTCCTGGAGGAGGCACTCCTCGGGGCATGTTCAAGGGAGGGCCACCCCGGGGCCCTGGGTAACGCATGTCTGGAGGGAAGGGCTGATGAGGTCCCATGGGGCCTCGAAGAACTGCAAAACACACGGGACAGGGCTCAGTAAAAACATAGAGACACACACATAAAGTCTGCAGACTGACACTCACCGTGTGGGGGAGGCATGGGACCATAGTAGGGAGGGGGACGCATGTGTGGGGGTGGAGGGCCACGGAGATCCATAGGGACAGGGCCAGGTCTAGGCTGAAAAGCATGCCCGTTGGATGGACGGGGTCCGAAGTCTCCCCCCATAGGCATCCCTGGGTGTCCGTTGGCTGGAAGCGGCCCATGAGGATGAGGAGGCAGGGCCCCAGGAGGGGGGTGGGGGTATGGGCCAGGCCCAGGCGGGTATGGACCGGGACGCATTGGTCTGTATGCTCCTGGAGGAGGCAGTCGGCCCGGAGGCAGCAGATGCTCATGGGGCGGAGGGCCTGAGTCTGGACAGTCTTTGATGGGAGACACGATGAACGAACCGGGACCCTGAACACAAACACGTGTCACAATCACACACAGAGGAACATGCACAAACCACACACACAGAATACACAATGCTACACACACAAGAGCAGTTTAACCCAACAATCACTACCCAAACAACCCACAGTGACAAACCGTTATTAAACCACACAAAAAAATGCAGTGCCAAAGACTTAATAGTTTGATAAAATAAGGAACATGACATAAGTTTAACTCACTGCAAACAATCATGAATAATGTTAAAGTCACAATCATCAACCACTGGAGGAAACAGAGTCTGGCATCAGGAGCGTGACCCAGTGAGACAAGCCCAAACCGAACCTCTGCCCTCAAGTCCAAGTCCAGTAAATGTGCAGTGAAAGCACGTTCCCCAGAGGCCCCAGGTCAGGGGCTTTTCCCCAAAGATCTCTAGGGCCTATGGGGAAAGGCCTCTGGAGAGAGGCCCCTGGAGAACAAACCCTAACACACACAGTACTCACAGGCTCGGGGCTCTCAGAAGAGACAGTGCCCTCAGCCTGGATCTGAGCAGGACACAGGTCATGAATGACAACACAGTTTATTTATATAGCACCTCACACAGAGAACAGGGACCGCACTCACCGGGGCGTCCATGTTGGCGGGAGACGAGTTACGAGGACCCAGCATTTCTGCAAAACAACACAAAATAGGATGCAAGTTGTAAAACACATCAACAGATTATACACTAACAATATAACTATAAAAACTATTGAGACTGCACACGGAGAACCCTGCTGGAGATGATGACCCCTGTGTATGACAACACAATCCTCCGCTCTCTCTTTATCAGTTAGCATTTTGACTTCAGCTGTAGTTCATTGCTATTAACCCACTGTCCCATTGTCTGTTTCATGGTGTGATAATACAGTGAAAGTATTCGGCCCCCTTGAACCTTTCAACATTTCGCAACTTTTTAGGCTTCAAACATAAAGATATAAAATTTTAATTTTCATGAATCAACAACAAGTGGGACACAATCGTGAAGTGGAACGAAATGTATTGGATAATTTAAACTTTTTTAACAAATAAAAAACTGAAAAGTGGGGCGTGCAATATTATTCGGCCCCTTTACTTTCAGTGCAGCAAACTCACTCCAGAGGTGGGAAAGTCTGTCCATAGGACAACAATCAGTCGTGCACTGCACAAATCTGGCCTTTATGGAAGAGTGGCAAGAAGAAAGCCATTTCTCAAAGATATCCATAAAAAGTCTCGTTTAAAGTTTGCCACAAGCCACCTGGGAGACACACCAAACATGTGGAAGAAGGTGCTCTGGTCAGATTAAACCAAAATCGAACTTTTTGGCCACAATGCAAAACGATATGTTTGGCGTAAAAGCAACACAGCTTATCACCCTGAACACACCATCCCCACCTCAGCTGTAGTTATCTGCAGTTCATCCAGAGTGATCATGGGCCTCTTGGCTGCATCTCTGATCAGTCTTCTCCTTGTTTGAGATGAAAGTTTGGAGGGACGGCCAGGTCTTGGTAGATTTGCAGTGGTCTGATACTCCTTCCATTTCAATATAATTGCTTGCACAGTGCTCCTTGAGATGTTTAAAGCTTGGGAAATCTTTTTGTATCCAAATCCGGCTTTAAACTTCTCCACAACAGTATCTCGGACCTGCCTGGTGTGTTCCTTTGTCTTCATGGTTCTCTCTGCGCTTTCAACAGAACCCTGAGACTAACAAAGAGCAGGTGCATTTATACGGAGACTTGATTACACACAGATGCATTATATTTATCATCATCAGTCATTTAGGACAACATTGGATCATTCAAAGATCCTCACTGAACTTCTGGAGTGAGTTTGCTGCACTGAAAGTAAAGGGGCCGAATAATATTGCACGCCCCACTTTTCAGTTTTTTATTTGTTAAAAAAGTTTAAATTTCGTTCCACTTCACGATTGTGTCCCACTTGTTGTTGATTCATGACAAAAAATGAAAATTTTATATCTTTATGTTTGAAGCCTGAAATGTGGCGAAATGTTGAAAGGTTCAAGGGGGCCGAATACTTTCGCAAGGCACTGTAGGTCCCCTGAACACAGACTGTTTTACATGCACCTGTGAACAGGTCTTCCATAGCCTACAGGTCCTAGGCTGTAGGCTAGGACCTACAGCCTACAGCGGATCCCTCTGTCCCATTTGTGAGTGGTTTTTTGTGATGTAGGAGGGTCTACAGACAGTGATGATCTGGGACATTTCTGCACATTTACTAACATTTCTGGATAGTGGTCATACTGCTTCCTGTGGGCCAATTGCTTCTACTGTATGTGTTTGTTAACTGGTGTTGGCGAATCCACAACATTGTAAAGTGCTTTCGTGACGACTACTGTTGTGATTTAAGGTGACACACAAATAAATTGTATGAGGTGACATACCCAACCCAGACATATGCTTGCTTTCTGCATAGCGGCCGTGAGGGTCTGACGGAGGTCTGGGGCCTGAAGAGAAAAATCATTATTGTGAAGAAGAGACAACATTAACATTCGCAGGACATGGAAGAAAAAGCGGGAAATGCAAGTTTATTTGTAAAGCACAGTTCACACACAAGGAAACTCAAAGTGTATGACAAAACAAGAAAAGAAACAGTAAACTCATTCATGGCATTAAATTATAAATAATCACAGTACATTAAAAAGAGTGAAGAAATACAGGTCTATACCCGATTTCGGACATTCACTGGTCCCTTGTTTTTGTGATAAAAATAACCCGCAATAGGTGAAATAAGAAAGGTCCCATATTCCGCTTGACCTTTCTCATTGCAGTGCTATTTGCCCTTCACATACATGCCCAGAGAAGTTTTTTTCATTGAGCTTTAATTAGCGAGCAATCTTTCCCTTTCAATTCTACAGAGGCAGCAAAACACCCGGGTCCACATCTGTGACGAACACAACATCAACTACGCGGATGACGCAGAAGCCACTGTTTAAAATGGTTCTAAAATAATGTAATCATAACAGGGAAAACAATGTATAATAAATATACTGCTTGTTGTCAAAAATAATAATAAAATCCAGGAGGTGATTTTTACGGCCTCTACCGAGTCCAGCGTTTTGTATTGCATCTACCAAATGGAGCTATATTGCTTTACCGCCATTGTCAGCGACTAAAAGTGTTAAGATCATGTCAACTTAGAAAAAAAATATTTTTGGGTGTAAATATGTGATGCCCTATTTGGCCCAAAGACCAAGAATGCGCTGGATGAGGGTGGACTTTTTTCTGAAAGTGCCACGTCACTAAAGACTGTTCCAGAACTACGGTCACAATGAAACTGGACTTGCTCAAAAGCTGATCTGGAAACCTTTGTTATTCCCACGATAAAAGACACAATCAATCTGTAAGTACAGTGCTACTAACTCGACGTACAGTACAGACCAAAAGTGTGGACACACTTTCTCATTCAATGAGTTTCCTTTCTTTTCATGACTTTTGACTGTAGATCCACACCAGGCTGTGTAAGGGCTGTTTGACCAATAAGGAGAGTGGTGGAGTGCTGGGCCAGATGAGCCGGCCTCCAGTCACCGGACCTGAACCCAGTCCAGATGGTTTTGGGGGGAGCTGGACCACAGAGTGAAGGCGAAAGGGCCAGCAAGTGCTAAGCATCATGGGAACTCCTTCAAGACTGTTGGAGACCATTTCAGGTCACTACCTCTTGAAGCTCATCAAGAGAATGCCAAGAATGTGCGACGCAGTAATCAGAGCAAAAGGTGCTACTTTGAAGAACCGAGAATATAAGACATATTTTCAGTTGTTTCATACTTTTACGTACATAATTCCACACGAGTTAATTCATAGCTTTGATGCCTTTAGTGTGAACCTATTATTTTTACAAACATAAAATTTAAAAAAAAGCTTTGAATGAGAAACTGTGTCCAAACTTTTGGTCTGTACTGTAAACTACAGTTAACTAAATAATTAGGGTCTGATTGAGGACATAAGGCTCTGTGAGACAGATCGCCATTGTTGGAAACATTTTATTCTAAGGTCTGAAATGACAATGTACACGGTAAAAGCTGAACATTTTGAACATTAAACTAGTCAGCAGGAGGCAAAATCACAGTTCGGGTGGGGGTAGGCGGGCTCAGAGGCAAAGAACCAGGGAGGAGCAGTGATTAGCTCGTTTCAATAGAGGTGACATCACCTCAATGCAAGAAATGGCAATAATCTCACAAGTTTTGGCCCAATATAGGACCTTTAAGGCTGTGAAACCCCTCACTTCATACACTTTTCTAACTACTTTAACCCACGACTGCTTAAGTGCGATCGCAGAGATAGTTGTAGGTTTGTAGAGACCAGCGAGAGTCCAGGGAGTCCAGGACTGAGGAAGACTGCAGTAGTCCTCTGAACTAATCCCACAAGCCACAAACGTGTTCTTATTTTAAACATAAGTAACTGTCATGTTATACTGCGGTTATATGACATTGTATATAATGTTGTTGGAGTATACACACAGCACGCAAGAAACAAGCTGAATTGCACATAAAAAAACATGAAACAGTGAGGCCATGAAAGGTGAACCACGAGGGACCACTGTACACTCGGACCTCCAACCCTTTTGACGTATACTTGAGCCTTTAACCCAAATTTGGATGCATTGTATAGTGGAACCCTAACCCTATTTTTGACAGGCATAAGAGGATCCGGAAAAAGCGAGATGAAGCAAAGAATATAAAAGAGGGAAACAAAGCAAAATGAATAAGGAAGTTGAATCAAGGAGGAAGACTGGAGCCAGTGAGAAGTCCTGAAACTCACCAAAGGGGTCTATTTTACGACCCACGGGGGCGGAGGGAGGGCGGCGCGGGCCCTCGATCATAATGGGAGGCGACGGTGCCCCCCCGCTCACAGGAGACGGTCCATACGAGTCACCTGTCATAACCAAACCAGGCACTTTAACACAACACGCCGCACACTCATGCCAAAGCCTGGGCTCGCCGCAGTCCTCTCAGGATCGAGCCGTTTGCAAATTGCAGCGCTGAGGTAAAAGGGGAGAGGAGCTCACCTTGGCGAGGTCCCGGGAACTGGCCGGAATTGGGTCTGAAGAGAGGGGCGCGCTTCTCGTTCAGCTGAGACGTGAGGACGGTCAGTCTGCAAGAGAGTGAAGAGCACAGAGCGTGTATTAGGAGTGGACTGACCAAGTGTGACATCACCACTTAATGCGGACAAGGTCGATTTGAACATAAACTAGCTGGAGCCATTTTTCTTATATGGGAATTTGTTTTGATGGCATTAACTTTGCACCGTAACAGCATCAGATGTGTTGCTAAGACGGTTGCTAAGGCAAGCTGGAGTTTTCTCTCGCAAATGAAGACATATGAGTGAACAGTCCTTATGGCTCATATAAGGATTTACAAGGACAAGATCACAATACAAACACCAGGATCACAGAAAGTGCTAAACCACAAATTTCATTAAGCCCAAAATGGTGAAAGTGACAAACGGTTACTGAGCTACAGGAGTTTACTTTTACATGTAAGTCAATAGGAGCCAGAGAGAGTTGGAGCCATTGGAATCATTGAGCTAGCAGGTTAGCATTGCCCATCTTTTAGGAACCAGCCTTAGCAGCTCTTTTTGTGCCACAGTCAGTAATTTTCTCTTCTGTGCTGTGTCAACTTTTATCTTCACAAACAGATAATTTTTGGCCAGCAGTGTTATTAGTGGGACTGCTTTGACAGGTCTGAAGTTTGATGCCAATCCTTCCACAGATGAGATAAAGAAGTCAGTCCAGAAATGCAGAAGCCGTCAATGGGGCACTGCGCTAATTGATTCTCGTTCTGAATTATTTTTCAGATTGTTTCACTCACTTTTCTCGCAGTTTTGAAGCTTCCACTTTCTCCTGGTTCAGCGCTCGTTCAGCATTTCTTGCAGTAATCTACAAACAAAGAGGATCATGGTAATGAGTACATATCCATCCATCCATTTTCTTTCTCTTAATCCATTTCTGGGTCGGGGGGTGGCAGTCAGAGCTGCACCCAGTACACTTAGCACAAGCCCCTCTCACTGATCCTCCTGCAGGTGGTGAGTCCACAGGAGCCTTGATTATTCAGCAGAGGCTTCAGGCAAAGTGGGGTTAAGTGTCTTGCCCAAGGACAAAACGACAGCAGACAGGAGTCATGCTCCCGCTCATGTGTACATATGGGACTTTAAAACCAGGACAAAGGAGCCACTTACCCAGTTTGAATGAGTCTTGTTTTCTTGTTCTTTGATCTATAAAACAGAAACCAAAGCCATATTTCCTGTTAGTGTTTTAAAGTTGAGGTACCCAACTTTGTATTCCCAAAACTAACACGTTTCTCCTATGGGTGAGAGAGTTTTCAAAGTGTAATGGGAACAAGTCCATCAGCCTGCAGTCTTCATCTTATTAGAAAACAATCTTTCACATGATTCTAAGAATGAGCCTTGTTAGTCACAATTTGAGCTGATTGGCTGAGTGACGGTAGTCTCCTTTTATGCTGATCTAAAGAAATGACAGAAGCCAAAAATACATGCATGTGAAAACTAGACCAAGACCAGGGCCAGGACCAGACACGGAGCGATAAAGAATTGGTCTTGGTCTCTGATCAGACCGAGACCAGACAAGACATCAAAAAATTATGAACATGTGAAACTAGACCAGGACCAAGACCAAGACAAGGCAAACAAATTCATGTATCTGAAAACTAGACCAGGACCAAGGCCAAAACTAAGATTAGACCTGGACCAAGACTTAAGGCTAAACAGACAAGACAAAAAAAATACATGCATGTAAAAACTAGAGCAAGACAAAAATCAGACAAAGACCTAAAAAAAATACATGCATTTGAAAACTCATGGAGTTTTGAGAGCAAGGAACAAGTTTCAAGCGAGAGCAGCTTGAAATGTACCTGCTCCTTGTACATCTCCTCAGTCTTCCTCATCTGCTCCTCCATCTCGTTGATGCGCTGTCGGAGGACTCGGACCTGCTCCTCTGCTTCCGTGGCTTTCCCTCCCACCTCCGTCAGCATGCTCTCCTTACTGCGCCGCTCCATCTCCTCTTTGGTCAGCCTCCTGCAACAGCACACAGCTCTGTTCAGCTCGCTCAGGAGGTTTTAAAGAGAGTTAAAAGGAATTATTGAAGGATTTCAGTTTCACACAAGGGTCACTTCTAAAAAAGATAAAATGTCATTAGCTCCTGAGACTCCCATCATTTACATCACTTGCAATAAAACTTGGGAAATATGACATAATAGAGTTTCTCACTGTTGCAGAGCGCTCTCCTTCTGCTGGTACATCTCCACAATGATCTCGTTCTTCTGTTGGAGAACCTTGTACTGGTTTTCCACCAAACTCTTCTCACTTTTTATGGTAGCTATGGCGTGCTCCAGCTCCTGGTGTTGCTCTGTGGAGGACCAGTAGACAAGACTATTATCTTGTTCCAAATAAAATATCTGATTACCTTCATGTAAATGCCAATGTTATTAAATTGTACAGTTCATGCAAGGTGGCCCAGGAATTTTATTCCATGAAGAATGGGCAGTTTTACCATCAGAGGAGACGAGAGAAAACGAGAATGAGAAAGAAAGAGGTAGACTGAGACCAGAGAGACGAAACAGACGAGAGAGACCAGAGACCAAGACCAGACAAAGACCAGAAAGATACCAGAGATATACCAGTGAGAAACCAGTGAGATCAGAGAGGAAAAATAACCTCTTCCTCTCAACTTCCAACACCAACTTCCTCAAAAGACTCAAAGCTGTCATAGATGTTAAAGGGCAACACACGCTGGTGAGAACTGGGGAGACTTATGATCAGGGCCAGAAGAGGAGATTCTTTTGTCATTATAATTCAAAAATAGAAAACATGTTCATTTGACAGTATATGGCTTCACACAACCTCTGACAATGCTCATAATCTCTGAAAAGAGGCCAAAACAACAAATATCAGCCAAAAGTGTAAACTTGATTTGTTACTTGTTCATTATGAAGATACCACAAGACAAAATAATAATTTTAAGAAAACTGACCTTCCAGTGATTTCCTGGCCTTTTCCTCAGCGTGCAGTTTGGACATGAACCGGTCTCGCTCCTCTTCGACGACTGAGAGAGTGGTCTGAACCTGAAATCATTCAACATGCATCAGATAGTTGGTTTTCAGACTCTGATGAACTGATGGTCAGTATTTCTGCACTTACCCTGGACACATCCATCATCTGTTGGATCCTGTTCTTTATGGCTGTTGTTTTATCTGTGACAATAGTATAACAGTTACCTCAGCATTCACAGAATATCAAAGACTTCAGAGGACAGGGCTAACCCACTAGCTGGATGTTGGAACCATACCGTGTATTAGGAGTGGACGGGCCGAGTGTGACATCACCCGTCACTTGTGTTAGCCTTAATGTGGAAGAAACTGATTTGAAGATAAGCTAGCTGAAGCCAATTTCCTTATAAGAGCATTTCACCATAGCGTGTTGTTATAATGGTTGCTAAGGTAAGCTGGAATTTCTCCCATGAATAATGTAATTCGATCGGTCAAGAGAATATGGCTACATTTTAACACCAGAATCAGAGAGCGCTACACCACGGATTCTAAACCCAAAATAGTGAATGACAAACGGTTAATGAGCGAGAAGTTTACTTGAAAATGCAAGTCGATAAGAGCCAGAGTGAGTTGGAGCAAAACTTCATGAGCACTTCCCTGTTGGGCTTCACTGAGCTCACGGTTTAGGATTGTCCACCTACAGTCTATGCTTGGACCCCATCCAGAAGCTTTACATAGCTTCCTAGGGTTTGAAGTCTACTAAGGAAGTTTTGCTTCAGCTCACTTTGGCTTCATTCACCTACATTGAGAACTTGCATGATACTGGCTTTTACATTTTGAAAGTGTCTTTGTAGATCCAAATGCTTTCTAACTCCGAAAGCTGGTCCAAAATGGCTGTGGTTGCTAGGCTGTTGCTACCCACAAATATGGCTCCAGATTTCTGCTCACAAGAGTCTTATTTGCTGTAATCGTCTTCTTCCGCATTATCCCTTGGTCAGTCCACTCCTCCTGCAGCCTGTACATGACACTGTACCAGTCACTACTCACCAACAGACATATCTCTGTTAGCAGAAACCGAGGGATCCGCTTTCTGCACGTCACATGCTTCCAGGTCCGACAGAAGGTCCGACAGCACCTGATCACGCATTGAGAAGAAAAGATTAATCCATGCAAAAAAAAAGCAGATAAATGATTTAATTCAAACAGGCACGGACCTCTATGTTGTGATCTTTCTGAGCTAACGAGTCTTCCAGCTCCTTTTGGGATTTCTGGTAAACTTTAATCTTCTCGCTCAGCTCTCGGTGTGTGTCCTCCCAGTTCTTTATGGTCAACTTAAGCTGCAGAAACAAAACCAGTTACTAAACAGAACAGGCCAAATACAAATAGTGTATAAAAACATACAGTGTTGTTTTCTTTCTTTGAGGCGGTGTAATCTTTTTCTAAACTCTTCTGCTGAGCGTGTCTGGCATCCTCTCGAATTTTTGCCTCGTCCAGCAGAACTGTGGTCTGCGAAATCAGAGGAAAGACACAAACTGAATGACATATCACTGCACACTTAATAACATTTCAGGACAGTGGTCATCCCGCTCCCTATGGACCAATGGCTCCTTTGTTTTTGCTATTATTGCATTTCCTGTGTTCAAATTGTTTGGAATTCTCTGATCTGTTGAGGAATTAACAACTGTTAATTGTTTTGACAGGATGTTTATACAAATAAGTGGATTCAAGAGGTTAATAACTTTACCCCTATGAACAGCCTGACTATATTGGCTGAGCTGAAGTTGGCTGAGTGACACTGTGAAAGGGCCTTAATGGCTTCTTTGTGTTAGCAGCAGAAAGCCACATAAACGGCCTGAATTTGAACATGCCTCATTTAGAAAGTGAAATAAATTATAAGGACAGTCAAATGAATTGGATATCACAAATAGAACTCACTCTCAAAGGTTTTTTCAGTAGTTCGTTAAAGAAAATGTTGAATCATTTATCACGGAAGGCTGTACTGTTGACTTGTTTTGAATTGTGCAAAAGTTTGGAGCATAAACGATACAATACCCTGCGTACAAGGCTCTGGATCAGACTACACTGTTTCTCAAATATGAATCACTTTGATGGAGAAAAGCTAAACATAAAAAAAGATGTAAATCTCTCTCTCCCCAAACAAAGACATTGCTTACTTTTGCCAGAGCTTCTTGAGTCTTTTTTCTGCTTTGCTGCAGTTTCTCAATGGACCGCTCCAGTTTTTCAATCTGCGTGACACCAGTTATTTAGAATACAGTCCGTTACAACAGTTATTTAGTATCCAACAGTATTATAACTGTTGGATACGAGTGCTATGAGACTTGGGTGGCATCTCTGACTGCCACCCCCCTGACCCAGAAATGGATTAAAGGGTAGAAAATGGATGGATGGATGGACAGTATTATAACAGCAGTACTACAACGTACCCTGGTTTCATTTTTCTGAGAGCTCGTCCTTTCTTCTTCTAGTTGCTTAATATACCTCTGCTTTTCCTGAGACGATTGTTGATTCAGCATTTCTGCTTCCGATACCCTTTTCTGTTAGTAAGACATGAGACAAGCAACACAGAGAAGACAATTAGGCAAAATCTAAAATATATTATCTAAAGGAAACTTGGAAGATTCTTATCCTGCATTCATCTCCAGTAGGCTAGACTAGAGTCCTGACTAGAACCAGGAAGTACCATCATCACATTAGTCCAGTTCTGAACCAGGAAGTACCCTCACATTAGTCCAGTTCTGAACCAGGAAGTACCCTCACATTAGTCCAGTTCTGAACCAGGAAGTACCCTCACATTAGTCCAGTTCTGAACCAGGAAGTACCCTCACATTAGTCCAGTTCTGAACCAGGAAGTACCATCACATTAGTCCAGTTCTGAACCAGGAAGTACCATCACATTAGTCCAGTTCTGAACCAGAAGTACCATCATCACGTTAGTCCAGTTCTGAACCAAGAAGTACCCTCACGTTAGCCCATTTCTGAACCAGGAAGTACCATCACATTAGTCCAGTTCTGAACCAGAAGTACCATCATCACGTTAGTCCAGTTCTGAACCAAGAAGTACCCTCACGTTAGCCCATTTCTGAACCAGGAAGTACCATCACATTAGTCCAGTTCTCAGGTCTCTAGACTGGCTTCCTGATCTGTTATAATCTGGTTGTTATCGTCTTGTATGTCTGTCTGTTTTAAATTGGACTCATCAAATAAAAAAGCTAAATTGAATAAATCAAAGCACATGAAGTGAAGATCTCGTCACCTGTAGAGCCCTCAGCTTCTTCTGTGCTGTAGTGGCCGACACCGCAGACTCTTTCTGGTTTTCCTTCAGGAGCTCAGACTTCACAAAAGAGAAGCACAAATGAATAAACATATAAAACATAACATCTTTACTCTGATAATAATCTCACCTGTTTCTGTAGCTCTGTTATTTTAACCAGTGCGTCATCCTTCTCCTTTTTCAGCAACACAATTTGTTCATCTAGTTTTTTGTGATCCACTTTACCCATGAGTAGCAGAAAACGCACAGTCAGCACTCATTGTAATATGAAGACATTAATGAATGCATTATAGAAAAGAGGAAATTCATACCTAGATATTCTCTTTTCTTCACCTAGAAACAGAACATCAGGGAAAACTAGTTAGTATAAGACACAGTATATTATTATCATGCCCAGAACATCACACAGCTATTGTATGAACAGGGGTAGCATCATTGAATAATGGTCTGATCTCCTGCTGCTTTTTGACAAATGCACAAAGTATTTTTTAAGATTAATAAGGTAGATACTTAGATTGGGGTTTATTCATTTGTCACAAGATTATTTTTTGGTGTTGCAAAAATCCAAACAACAATTAAATTCACAAAACAGCTTAAACACAGAAGAGCAAACTAAGAATATTTTGAAAAAGAGTAGGGAAAAACATAAGAATATAAACCCTGACCCGTAAATACTAGTCCAGAAGAATCCGAAGCCTTACATTAGAGTTAAACCTCTTCTCAGAGGTTCAACTCTAATGTATGGATCAAAAAACAATTCTTCAAATGAGAGTTTTAGTAATTGATTAGTTATAGCTCCAAATAATACAACTTCAAATTTGTCTACGTTTCAGTTTTCCCTCAAATGCAAAATCTCATTGGGATAACGACCTGAGCTTTGGAATAAAAATCTCAAACAAAAACTATAATGTTATCAGGAAAATTGTAATTTCTTCAAAATCTATCTTTGTGCAAGTGGTGGACTTACAGCTAAGACCGTCCTCCAGAAAAACAAAGTGAAGGTGAGGATCCCGACCACCGCGGTGACCCCCACAGCCTCCCAGGGACAGCCCAGCAGAGTGTCCCCTGGTCTCCACTCATCGGGCAGTGAGGCGATCATCTGCACACAAGCACAAGGCACCATGTCAGTCACAGGGAATCATCGTATTGTTCTTCAGTTTAATCTGTTTACAAAAGGTACAGGCTAAAAGAAGTGTTAAATACTAAATATAAAACTGCATATTGATTATCGCCTCTAAGGCGATAATCAATCTAGTTTTTTGTTTTTTTTGAGAAAATAAAATACAAATGTACAAAATAAAAAGTAAGTCAAGTGCTTACTTTTCTGTCTGATAAAGATGGTCTAAAAATTTGACAGGACAAAAATATATGAGACCAGAGAGACAAGAGAAAGACACAGACCAGAAGGAGAGTGCCGGAGGGCCGAACGGAAGTGGCGAAAGTCCAATTTCCAGGGCGATTATGAAATCTTTAAAGATGAGTTGGGTGAATTTAACCGGGTTCTACGTAGAACAAGAGAAATGTATTTTTCTGACATTATTGGAGGTTGCAGTAACAATTTTCGTGTTATGTTTTCAACAGTTGGTAGATTAACGAACCCCCCTGTAAAGTTGCCCCTAGAATTTTCCTCTAAATCTAGGTGTAATGAGTTCGCACAGTTTTTCAAGGACAAAGTACAAGGAATCAAAAACACTATCACCTCCACAGCACGTATAACAATGCAACAGCCAGAGAAGCTTTTTGAGCTAACTCACTTTGCACCTGTGGATACTGAAACTGTCAAAAAGATAATCATGAGTCTGAGCTCCTCCACATGTAGCCTGGATATATTGCCCTCTAAATTTCTGAAGTCCGTCCTGAGCAGTTTGTTACCTTCACTGACACAAATAGTAAACATGTCTCTGTCGTCAGGAACATTTCCTATGGCCCTAAAAACAGCAGTCATAAGACCTCTCCTAAAAAAGAGCAGTCTGGATCCTGCGGGACTTCAAAATTATCGCCCCATATCGAATCTGCCATTCATTGGAAAAATTCTTGAAAAAGTGGCCTCCCAACAACTTACTGAATTTTTAACAATGAATAATTCTTTTGATATGTTCCAGTCTGGGTTTAGACCCCACCACAGCACTGAGACCGCTCTAGTGAAGGTAACAAACGACATTCGACTTCACACTGATGCAGGTAAAGTCACAGTTTTGGTCATGTTAGATCTTAGTGCCGCGTTCGACACTGTCGACCATGAGATCCTCATGCAGAGACTGGAGGACTGGGTTGATGTCACTGGCACAGCCCTAGACTGGTTTAGGTCTTACCTGGAGGATAGGAAGTACTCTGTGGAGATTGGAGACTGCGTCTCAGATGATGTGGCCCTGATCTGTGGAGTACCACAGGGGTCGATCCTGGGACCTCTCCTATTTAATCTCTACATGCTGCCGTTAGGTCAGTTAATACAAAGAAACAAAGTGTCCTACCACAATTACGCCGACGACACTCAGATCTATGTCTCACTGACTGCAGGAGAACATGGACCACTGGATTTGCTCCTTCACTGTATCCAACAGATCAGTGACTGGATGCAAAATAATTTCCTCCAGCTAAATGCAGACAAAACCGAAATCATTGTCTTTGGTCCCCAGAAACAAAGAGAGGGCGTCATTTGTCAACTTCAGTCTCTCTCCCTACTTCCTTCAGACAAGGTCAGAAATTTGGGGGTAATACTGGACTCAGACCTAAATTTCAATAGCCACATAAAATCAATAACATCAACAGCTTTTTACCATCTGAAGAACATTGCCAAAGTTAGAAATATAGTGTCCAGGGCAGACTTGGAGATTCTTGTCCATGCATTTGTCTCCAGCAGGCTAGACTACTGCAATGGCCTGCTTACAGGTCTGTCCAAACAGACCTGTAAGCAGCTGCAGTACATCCAAAATGCAGCAGCTAGAGTCCTGACAGGAACCAGGAAGTATGACCATATTAGTCCGGTCCTCAGGTCTCTGCACTGGCTTCCTGTGGCTCAAAGAATAGATTTTAAAACGGCTCTGCTTGTGTACAAGTCTCTCCATGGCCTTGCACCAGAATACATTAGTGACATGTTGGTGTCATATGAACCGGCCCGGACTCTGAGGAGCACAGGGACTGCCCTCCTGCTGGTGCCCAGAGTGAGAACCAAACATGGGGAGGCTGCGTTTCAGATCCATGCAGCTAAGATCTGGAACAATCTCCCTGAAAATGTGAGGGAGGCGTCTACTCTGTCAATGTTCAAATCCAGGTTAAAGACTGTTCTGTTTGCCTGTGCATACAACTGAAGGATTTTATCTCCATTTCTAATTCACTGCTGTCATTTATTTTATTTTTTTTAATTTCTTGTGTAATTTTGAAAGTTTTAATGGTTTTATTCTTTTGTGTGATTTTAATGTTTTAATTGTGTTTTAATCTTTTGTGTGATTTTAATGTTTTAATTGTGATTCTGGTGTTTGTTTTATGTGATGATTTGTGATGTGGACTGTGAAGCGCTTTGTGTTGCCCTGTGTATGAAAGGCGCTCTACAAATAAACTTTGATTGATTGATTGATTGAAGGAGAGACACGAGAGAAAGACCCGAGAGGGAGACGAGAGAGAGACCAGAAAGTGACAAAGTTCAATGATTATTAGAATTGTTGTCATTTGAAAGTTTGTTAGCAAAGCTAAAAAATAAAAACATTTGTGTCCAGATACTAATGCTGCAGATTTACAAAGCACGCCGCTACTTCAACCAACTTCAACCATATGAAGCTCAATTGTTTTAATATATAATTGTTTGCAAAACTACAAACAAGGAAATAAGGAAGCATCCTGTTTGTGTAACGAAGGAAGTGGTCTAACTGAAGTTAAAATGCAGCAGAAATGGGAGCACCAACAACTGAAAGTCATCCAGTTTTTTTTTTTTTTACAGGTTATGGCCAAACCTGTCTAAATGTTGGCGCCCGTAACTACAACCCATATTCAGAACCAACGCCCGGTCTGAGATTTCATTCCCTTGAAAAAGTCCTTTAGATGAAGGACAAAAACCTGCTAAGAAGTAGATGATGGGTGAGAAACCTTCCTTTGCTTTGACTAATCCCTGTACGACAGAGCTTAGACAAACCTACAACCCATTTTTAAAATCCCTCTAAAAAGGCGCACTAATGAAGCATGTGGCAGTGTAATAACCAAAGTAGTCTCTGCAAAACCTTGAAAATAAACCAATAAGCTCATCATTTTCAAACAAGATTCACAAACGCAGAGAGACCACCTCCTACTGCAGCGTTCAGCGACAAGTGAGGTAATTTTACTTCCACATCTGTGCACAGAACAGAATACAGTCTATTCATTCAAAGAGCTGGATAATACTCTGGACATGAGCCTATTGAGTAATCCATGTGTGTAGTATGAAGCAGCGGTCATATGGCTTTTAACACGTCATCCTCTCAGCAGCAGCTGGCTGTATATTAGTATTATTGCACCTTTGCCCCCCTCTGGACTCACTTACACACTTGTTTTTACTTACACGCTGCAGCTCGTGGATGAAAAACACGTACACATGATCCTGTTCGAGGACGGGACGGGATATAGTGTCACCGTCCATGCCAAAGACACGCTCCAAACCCGCTTAGCTTTAGCTCAGCTGTTAGCTTCTGTGACAGGCGGATGCTAGCAAACGGGACCGCTATGCTACTACGGAGTATTACACAGAAAGAAATGCGAGTGGAAAGGGTTATTCGACTAAGACTGATGGGTTAGTTGATTTGGAAGATGACATTTCAAAATGGAAGTTGATTAAATTCATGAATAATCCCGTTAGCTTCCTGAATTGTCAGCTACAGCGGCAAATGTCAACATAAGCAAGATCGAGACGGGGCAGAAGTAAGTTGTTTGGCTTCGAGAGCGCGGGTGTTTGCTCTGCTGAGTCTGTGATAAATAATAACTAACTCCCGTGGTTGTAAGGCCTGTTTGCAGTGGTGTGAGGCAGGAATCAGCTCAGCGTCGGCTGTCAGTGTGAACTTCAGCCTGCACCACAATCAACAAGGAGGTGCGTTCAGGAACACTCGGACTGCGCAGAGGCGTTCGAGGACGTGGGAAAAACAATACTGACCCAGTGTTGACTTCGACCAGCATAACTTAACTATCTGTTTTTCCATGGCAAAAACGGATAAGTGACATTAGAACAATATTTGACAGGTTTATAATTTGCCATGCAGTTTTAAAAAGCCAAATCTATTTTTGTGCCATACAAGGAATGGCAAACAAAACCATGTTGAACATTGTAACGAGAAAAATACAACCTCCTATTGCTCCTACTCCTACTGTAGGAGTAGCTGGAGAGAGACACCAGAGAGAGAAACACCAGAGAGAGAGACTCCAGAGAGACACACCAGAGAGAGAGACTCCACAGAGAGAGACACACCAGAGAGAGTCTCTTGTTGGTAAATCAAATACCTTGTAATGTTTGTGTGTGGCCTAACTCACCGCAGTAGCCCACTCTGTAGTTTTACTCTTGCACATTGCAGCTATACACCCCAGGTAAACAAGCGCAGTAGAGAACAGTCCCACATCATCTTCGTGAAACTCTGAGGGCGGCTCCAAAGACTCCAAGGTTCCTGTAACATGGAGCGACATTGTTTTAATTACAGTATTGATATTCAAAATCCATCCTAATCCCTCCAACACCAACCCGATGGGGAGTTTTCCACTTCCACGCCCAGCCCCATATCCAGGGGGCTCTCCAGTGTTGCTTGTGGGACTTTAGGCATTTTGTCTCCCGCTTCAAAACTTTGCTGATTGTCTTGGTTTTTATTAAAGTGTCCCACGTCCTCCTCAACGCTGACATCCGGGACAGCGCTGGGAACTTGATCCAAAATAATCCCCTCTGGTTTCTTGCTCTTGGTGTCCTGCTCGAGGGGATGCGTGGACGTGAGGGTGACGTCCTCCTCCAAATCCGTTGAGTTTTCACTGTCCGCATCTTCAAGAATTACAGGTACAGCTTCTTTGACATTCAATTCATCTGGGAATATAAAACATATCAAGTTCACAATCTAAATTAATATTTGGGGCATTTTGTAAATGTTATCCTAATAGCTTTAGGTTCACATGACTGACAAGTCAGAGACTGGTCTTAGTTTAGAGCTAATTTCTCTATAAATCCTGGGACAACTGTCTGGATCAAGGTCCCTCTCTTTCTGGTCACACTCTCTAGAAACTGGTTTTAAAGAAATGTGCGTTTTCAGACCCTCAATTCTCCGGGTTTGTATGGATGATACTCTGAATTGCGTTTCAGGCTGTACTTGACTGTGGGTGGATAAGGACATGAAGTCACAGATCAATGTTATTTGGCTTATGTCACTACAGGAACAGTGTGTGCAGTGTTTGCTTGTTTCAAAGTCTCAACGTGAAACATGTTTGATCCAAATTAACCAGCCCATGGTCCAGTTAAAGTGAACCAGACCAACAGGTGTAAACGCACTCTGTGAAATCTGTGTAATTGAACTGAAGCACAGGTGTGACGTATCAGACATGGCCTGAATGTGGGAAGATTAGATAACTGCAGAACGAGAAACCCAGCACCAGAGCTTTGAACCAAAGTACAGAACAGCCACATCTCCACCACATGTACCTATAGGTAATGAAATACATGTGTTTTCATGTTGGTGCTGTTTAGCACTGTCAATTGTCAATGTAAATTTCTCCTATGTGAGATAAATAAAGAAATCTTATCTTATCTTAATATCATTCTTTCAAGGCAACAGACTTATTGTATTTCTGTATTTTGTATCGAATGTGGTCTAAAGTATATACAAACTATCTTTTGTTTATTTACAATATTATAGCACTGCATTTGAGCAGCTAGTATATGTGCAGCTTAGAGTTCAAATGTTCTTCTAATAATTTACATCGTTTCATCAGAGTATATATATTGGGAGTGTGACATCAGTAAAAGCAGATGGCCATTGAAGACTTTATAAAAGCTTTATAACAGGATGTTACTAGTATTTACTTTTGGCGTTCTCTGCAATACAGCTGCCATTGTTTACAAACCAATGCCAAACAGACAGAGGAGTACTTTTAGTCAGTGTTAATTTTTAGAATGCATTTTTAACAAGACTTTTAGTTGTGGGTTAGGGTTATAATGTTAGCATTAATGCGAAAGAGGTCAATTTGAACATGAGCTAGCTGGAGCCAATTTCCTTATATGGGAATTTATTCTGCTGCGTTAGCTTCGCACTGTAACAGGGGAAGACGTGTTGCTATGCAAGCTGTAGTTTCCCCCAGATCGGAACTACCACAGCCCACTGTGGTACCTGGTGTTCCTACAGGTCTCCCATCACAGTACTAACCAGGCCATGCCCAGCTTAGCTTCAGATGTCTGACGGGATCTAGCTTTCACATGCTAGGTACATATAATGTTCTGTGTGTACCCCTAGTATGATTTCTTGATTTAGAAATAAAATGTCAAAATATAATCACCAGGATCCCAGATGGCGCTGAACCAAATCTTTCAAAGCCCAAAATGGTGAATGTTACACAAAGGGTTGCAGAGAAAAGGAGTTTACTTTTACAACTAAATCAATAGGGACCAGAGAGAGTTGGAGCATGAGCACTTCACTATTGTACTTCATTGAGCTAGCGGGTTAGCATTGTCCATCGTTCTACAATCTATGTCCAGTTCGTCCACTCCTACCGTCTAGGAAAGCATCATTCCGATAGTGTTTTTTGGACACTCAATGATGCTGAAAATTGCCTATTAAAAAGGAAAGATCTTTGCCAAACCACAATAAATGCCAACTCACCTGGTTCATTGTCTCGCACTCCTTTGGCGAGAGGCGCACTGTCACTGGCGGTTGAGTACTTGCGTCTCAGGCTGAAGGCGAGCTCCTGAAAATCATCTAGAATCTCCGTCTCCTCGTCTATGTTTGATCCCACCTGCTGATTGTAGCTGTATTTCGACTCGCGACTGTCCAAAATCTTCTCCACTTCATCCAGGATGGCATTCTCACTGGCTTCCAATATCCTTTCTAATGCGTTTTCTATATCCTGTACACTGCCTCTGTGCGACTGGCGCGTTGCCTGTAGCTCTGTCTCCAAGTCCTCGAACATTGCTTCCAGTTTGAACAGATTTGTGAGGCCTAAATACTTCTGACAACGAGCCATTTTCTCTTCTGAAAAGTGTTCTCTTAAAATAGACAGCCTCATTACATCGTCACTGTAGACTGGTTCAGGCTCTGGCGTGGGTTCCACAGGCAGCATTTCAGGTGAAGAAGTCTCCGAAGGGTCGTCTGTTGACGTTAAAGGACCCTCGTCTCCGTCTTCTGGCGTGACAATCTCAGGCACATTCGGTGAATCAACAGGCTCTGTATTCTCAACAGAGCCCATTTGTGAGGAAAGTGCATTTTCATCTTCAAGTAATTCAACTTCGACCTCCTTCAAATCTGGCTCAATCTCCTCGATAATCTCCATTGTAACGTCAACATCCTCGTCCATTGGTTCATCTTTTACAGACTCATCATTATTGTCCAATTTGGAATGTACTTTTTTACTTTTTCTTGCAAGATTATGTACAATATTGAAAACATTTAAGCCTGCCTTCTCAGCGGGAAGTTTCTCTTTTGATTTAGTGGTATTTTCGTCTAATGGGTCTGCTGGCTTTACCACATCATGGCTATCTTGTGCTTTTGTAGTGTCATTTCTACCATTGGAGACATTTACCACTCCATCTAGCTCAACATCGGAGCTGTTTTTATTAAATTGAAAATCTTCCTGAGTAGGCAAAGCTTCTTCTTCAGTGGGTTCCTCTTCAACTATCTCTACATCACCGCCGTTATTTTGAAATTCAATATTTTCTTGAGTAGGCAAAGCTTCTTCTTGAGTGGGTTCCTCTTCATCTTGCTCTACGTCGGAGCCATTAGTTTGAAATTGAAGATTTTCTTGAGTAGGCAAAGCTTCGTCTTGTGTGGATTCCTCTTTATTCGCGGTCTCAATTGTTGGCAAAACATTTCTTCTTTTCAACATTGCTTCATCTGGCCCAACCACCACATCCCCAATTTCAAATAAATGTTCTTCCGCCTCACTCTTGGGTTCATCATTAACTTCTTGCACCATTTCTTGTCCATCTTCTGGCTTTGATACTACACGTGGGGCCTCAATCGATGGGTATTTAATATCTAGCGGTTGTTTGTCAGCTTTTATTTCTTCAAATGTTTTCGGTGGTGCTACAATCTCTTCATCGTCGTCGTCATCCTCCTCCTCATCTGAGTTTATGTCAGCTTCGTGCATAGCTTTCTCTCCTCCCGTTACAACGGAGAAAACAGCATCTCCAAATGAGGACCACATGCTTTCGTCGGCTTTTATCTCAGCTTGCTCTTCGACAATGTCTGCAGTCAACAAAGGCAGTTCAGGCGCTGGTTCTTCTTGAGTTTCCACTTGTATTTCTTCTTGCGTTTCTTCTTCCTCAGGAGTAGTTTTTACAGTGGTTGCTTCCCCAGTAACAACAGCATCAAAAGTAGTTCCGTGGCTAGTTTTTAGTTCAGGAATTTGTGCGTTTTCAGACAGTGTAACAGACGGTTCGAGAATGTCTTCTTGCCGGTGTAAGTTCTCCTCTTCTGGAACATGTTGGAAAGACTCTTTGGTTTCATTTGGTTCCACTACTACTTCATCTACAGTAGGCTCTGGCATAACTTGTGGCTCGTAATTTCCCTCTGCTTCAGTGTCGGGTGTTGTAAGAGTTTCAGATGGCGATAATTCAGTCTCATTCGGAGAAACATTTTGCTCATCTGGGACATAATTATCGTCTTCCTCAGGTGGCTTCGTGTCCATTTGAATAGACTTTGAAACATGGGAGGATGTAGCGTTACTTTGATCTTTACTGTCCTCATTTAGAAAGCCTAATAGATAGTCCACATCATAGCTTTGAAATTTATCAAATCCAGTTTCAAAACAGACAAAATCAGTCTCCTGAAACAAAGGAACAGGTTACCATCATTAATACTTGCAAGTTCTGAATAATAATGTTTTTAAGCCAAAAAGTCCACAGCAACATGTTGGATTTTGGTTTTAAATTGCAACTCTAAAAGATTTACCTCTGCTGGAATTTCAATCTCTTTTTCTGTATATATGTGGTTTATTGAGAGAAGATCTTTAGGGAAATACCCAAAGCTACTTCCAACCTAAAGAAAAGAAAACCATTATGAATAATGACAAACATAAAGTAAATAGCTTTTTGCACAGTGGACGTATACTTACACTTCCAGCCCACATGTCTGCCCTTCTCCCAGCCAGTTTGTAGTAAACATAAATAGTTTCAGATTTCTTAAAATTTAGAAATCTACAATCTGGTCCACGGAAATCATCCAAGGCTTTTCCACGGACCAAGAGCACTGGAAGAACACAAAAAACGAAGTCATCTCAAAGGACCAATGTTTCAAGAGATGTTTTTTTAGAATATATAAAATGTATGGAGAGTGAACCTGACTTAAACCTTAATACATTTTACATGAAGTTTGTCCCAAAAGAAAAGTCTTCTAAAAGTAAAACAATGTGAACAAATCACAACATGATATCATCTTATCAAAAAACATGTTATCTTTTGCATACAAGAGAGAGCTATGTGACAAAATGAGTCACTATTTGGTTCATAGGTTAAGACAGGGGTGTCCAAACTTTTCAGTAAGAGAGCCACTTCAGTTCACTAGACTTTCCAGATGCAGATGACTCGTGTTGTAAAACCGTGTTGACTGGATTCAGGCTGTTCTGAGCATTTGGTACGTCTATAATGATTTGACAGAGATGAAGTTGGCTGAACGGGAAAAAAATGATAATGAGCTACATGAGTGATATGTGAAGGTTTGTGCAATGATCGCAAAAAAAAAACAGAATTAAAGAGATTTTGAGCTTTCCACTGAGGTACACCATGCCTGTATTGGCAGAGAGTGGCTGGATGACACGACATTTATGTTTATGATTGTAATGGATAATCTTGGGTGCGCAAAGTAGAGGCCCATAGAAAATGACACAGCGGGCCGCAATTGGCTCCCGGGCCTCGGTTTGGCCTGGGCTCAGAGCTGATGGCTGAGTGAAGGTGGTCTAAAAAATATGATCCATATACCTCACAGAGCATACATGTGAAAACTAGTGACAGAATCAAACTGTTTTGAGAGTAAGGAACCAATTTAATGGATGTACTACAAAGTACAATTGTTGAGTTTTGGATCTATTCATACAAATATTTGTTTTTAAAGTTGGGTGACACAGCTTCCAAATCTATGTATTCATTATGTCTTAGATTTTTGTTAAGCCATTTCCCCATCATAACTGTTTAGGGTTAGAAAGTACCAAAAGTGCAGTATTTCATTGTAGTGATTTCCAAAGGAACAGCAGTGGAAAACGATGGAGATAATTACCATGACCTCAGCCAAAGGTGAAGAGGGTTAAACTGGGGGGTGTATGGCTCTGTGTTAGCATTAGCTCAGGGCCGATAGTTCCAGGCAACCGGCCAATACAAACGAGGTCTAAAATGCCCTCAAACTACTAATCCCTGCCAATAACATCACGAATCTATCCCTCTAACCATCACAGAAGTAAACAACATCACTGCTACAACAAAGGTGATACAGAGCGCTATTATCGACCGGTGTAAAACCTCCAAAGATAAGGCAGTTTATGGCTAGCGAGAGAAAGATGGGGTGAAGCATCTGTGGAAGTCTGGGAACATGCAAACTTACTGCTGCATTCCTCGTCTGCGCACCGCTTCAAGTCAGAAAACCGCTTTTCCAAGGCCGCAGTGGATATAAAATTGAATAAAAGCAATAAAAATCCGTTTTGGTAGATGTATTTTGCTGCCATGTTGGCACTTGTGTGTATGTGTTGATTGGGCTGCGGTAGTAGTGGATAGCTGGGAAGGAGACACGTCAGCACGCGTCCTATTCACAAAGCTTTTTGCGTAACGGTTACCGGAGAACTTTTTACTCCAGAATGTAATGCATTTTTGTATAGAGCAGTCAAAATGACGGCTTTTAGTCTGGAAGCGTAATCACTAAATGTATGTGTAAATTACTTTCTGTATTCACAGCATTATTCTATGCTTTTATTTTGAAAGGGAAAAGACCGAAAATGAGTCGACCTGTTGTTTCCGTGCTGAGTTGCAGTTTTTTTGAGACGGAGCTGTGGAGATGAATAAATTACCTCCAACGATCTGGCTTCATCTTTCTTGTACTCCCATACCCCTCGGTTACATTGGTGGCAGCGGTGGGTTCCTCCAGTGCAGGAGTCCATTGTCCTAAGGTGAAAAGTATACCTCCGTGAGGCTGACTTGCACGAGGCAGCTAGTGTTAGCCACTGCTAACTAGCGTTTTTTTTTTCTTCTTCTCTTTTTGCGGCGTTATAACAAGAGGCTGCTATAATGTGGACAAGGGACGAAGACCCTTTGGACTTTAAAGTGCAGAGAGGGGTAGTTTGGCAACAGTAATATTAAAATTGATCTTCCACCGCTATTTTCGGGCTCAGACAATGAGAGCTTCTCGTGTTGGTCCCGCCAGTATGAGGTGGCTGTGAGGGCGCTAGTTTCAGGCACTGGTGGTGACTTTGACTATGAACTGGCCAGGATACTTCCTACAAGGCTCTCCAAGGCTGCTTTCTTCTGTGGGACAGTCTTCCAGCAGCCGTCCAGGCAGATTACCGTGCAGTGAAAGAAAGGCTGCAGGATGCTTTCAGACAAAGACATTTCCTGGACTGTTTTAAAGCAAATCTCTCGGCCCGAAAGCGCTCCCCCTGGTGAAAGCCTAGATGTTTATGCCGCTGACATTGGAAAGCTCGTACAAGAGGCTTTCCCAAATTATGGTCCAGCAGCTCAAAGGGAAGAAAAGTTTCGTAGATTTTTAGCTGGACTTGACTCATGTCTGCGAGCAAAATGTCAGGAACAGGGAGCCACAGATTTGGATGAGGCCCTTGTGATTGCAGGGCGCTGTGATATGGCCCGGGAAACACTCAGGAATGACTATATGTACCCCATAGACAGTGGAAACATTAAACCAACCACTGCTCTGGTACAGGTCCATCTCAGAGGGGGCTAGTTGGCAACGCACGATCGACAGATTGGCCGAAGATATGAAAGAAATGAGAACGGATGTTCGAAAGCTCTCGGAGGAAAATGAAGACTCAGACAGGGTGCTCGAGATGGCTCCTCTACCACGCCTCAACGTTGTCAATGTCGGTGTGGGGCTAGAGGCTGCCAGTCCCTGCGTTCCTGGAGTGAGCCAAGAGGGCGGTCACCTGAAGCCGGTTGGGCAGCAGCGGCGTGGGAGAAGTATTCCGTCCAGAGCGGCGCTCGCCGTCACCCTACAATCGCCGTTCATCATCGCCGTACAATTCCCGCTCTGACTCTCCAGGGAGGCAGAACCTGAAGCCACCGGGGACGTCGTCTTCAACGCCCCGGAGCAACGTCGTGGAGTGCGGTTCCTTCCCCAGACAACCACCAACAGGGAAACGGGATGTAGCTGTCGTCGCGGGCCAGACCCCAGCTACATCACCTGTGCGGCCCCATGTGAATGATTCATTTCAGCCCTTTGCCAGTCATGTCACAGCACAGTTCCCTAATACGGTGCAACTCTCCTCATATGTAAGGGGGTTATTGAAGGTACAGAGCTGGATATCTTAATTGACTCTGGTTCTACTGTATCCTTCATAAGTGCAGATTTTCGTCAATCAATTCCGGCTCTTCGCAAGCGGCCTTTAGGCACAGAAGCTTATTGCCGCTTGTGCTGTGAATGGGGAGCTATTGGACACATTAGGTACAGTGACCGTTACCTTACGCTTAGGCAGTCAGTCGATGCAGCATGTTTTCCATGTGCTCCGGAAATCTACTCAAACAGCACTTCTCGGCCTGGACTTCCTTATCTCACAGCATGCGCTGTTAGACTTCCCTCGTGCTAAGTTGCAGCTGTGGGGCACAGAGATTTCCTTGCTGAGTAGTGCGGATTTGATCCCAGGGTGTTGTAATGTGTCTCTCCTTACTAGTCTGACATTGCCCCCACTTTGTGAGATGCAGGTGCCCGTCCGCGTGTCCTCCTCTAGGCCCACAGACCGTCTCCCTGACTTTGTTGGTTACCTTGAGCCTAACCCCCAGAGTAGTAGTGAGTGTGTTGTTGCGCACACCGTCTCCTCAGTTAACAAGGGTTTGACTGTAGCCCGACTTTTAAACCCCACCAAGGAGAACCTAGTGATACGAAGGGGTACACTATTTGGGGGAATTTTTCTCTGTCGGGGATGGTGACCTGGTGCTGCCTCCTACACGAGGTAGTGGCACTGTAGCTGCATGTAGGGTCTGATGCAGTGCCCCCGTGTCTTTGGATGGGTCGCCTGCCAGTTCAGACCAGGTCACGCAGTTGAAAGCGCTACTGGCAGAGTACATAGACATATTTAGTACTAGTAAAGGGCGGTAATCTGGTAAATGTACTCTGGTCAAGCACCACATTAACACTGGTGACCACCCACCTCAGAACAACGTGCTTATCGCACTTCCCCTGAGAAGAGGGAGGTGATTGACCGCCAGGTGAAAGCCCTGTTGGTTGATGGGGTAATAGAGGAGAGCTGCAGCCCCTGGGCCTCGCCTGTTGTCCTTGTAAAAAAAAAGAATGGTGAATGGCGATTTTGTATTGATTACAGACGACTGAACAGTGTTACAGTGAAGGACTGTCATCCTCTGCCCCGGATAGATGATACTCTGGATGCCCTCTCTGGCTCGTGTGCTGGGTTCAGTACACTTGATTTTTCAAACGGCTATTGGCAGATCGAGGTGGCTGAGGAAGACAGACAAAAGACAGCTTTTACCACAGGGAGAGGCCTGTACCAGGGGAGGTCTATGCCCATGGGCCTGACCAACTCCCCTGCTACATTCCAACGTGTAATGGGAGCTGGTTCTTGCGCGGACTCCCGTGGCAGTCTGTATGGTGTACTTGGACGATGTGTTAATATCAGTCCTAACGTTTTGAGGAGCACATGTCCAACCATGCGGAGGTGTTTTCTCGTATCCAGGCAGCGGGTCTCAAGCTCAATCCCCAGAAGTGTCACCTTGCTCGGGATCATGTGGTGTTCCTTGGCCACGTCGTTTTCCACGTCGGGGCCTGCAGCCGGACCCAGGAACACTAACAAGGTCAAGTCATGGCCCACACCGCGTTGGCGCCCACAGAGGCGAGAGCCTTCCTGGGACTCTGTTCATATTACAGGCGCTTTGTGAAAGATTTTGCTCGCCTTGCGGCCCCATTGCATCATCTCACATGTAAGGATGTCCCTTTGCTTGGACCTGAGGGCTGTGATGCTGCATTTGGGCATTTTAAATCGGTGCTCTCATCTGCCCCCATAGTGACCATGCCCTGACTTTAATGTTCCATTTAAGGTGTACACTGATGCGTCTATGGAAGCTGTTGGGCGGTGGTTAGCTCAGGATAAAGATGGGCTGGAGAGAGTCGTCGTATATGCTAGTCAATCGCTTACTAATACTCAAAAGCGTGGGCTACATTTTGAATAAGGAGCTATGGGCTGTGGTGTGGGCTGTGCGTCAGTTTTAGACATTACATCGGATCATCCCCTTTTACTATCATAACTGACCAATAAGCCTCTTTTAGGACTCCTGGGCATGTCAATTGATAAGGACCCATCCGGAAAGAGGGCCCGGGTGGATCCTTGAACTGGACCCGTATAACTGAGTATGCAGCACAAGGAGGGGCGCCGTCATACTAATGCGGATGCCCTCTCACGGGCGCCCCGAAGGGGTCCTGGGCCCTGCCCCCCTGGTCAATGGATAAGCTCCTCTACAGCGCCACACTCCGCTCCTATTGATGCCAGGTCAGGGTGCACTTTCCTCCGGTGCCCTCTCTGCCGGTGCCCTCTCCCCTGTGCCCCTCTCCGCCTTGCCCTCCTCCGCCTGTGGCCCCTCTCGCCTGTGCCCTCTCCGCCTGTGCCCTTTCCGCCTGTGCCCTCTCCGCCTGTGCCCTCTGCGCCTGCACCCTCTCCACCCGGGGCGCCTCCTGTGGGTGGAGAACGCTGGCATTCACTGAATGGTGACAGTGATTATATTGCCAGGCATTCAGAGGGAAGATCCGGACTTTGGTACTGTATTGGACTGGATCAGGCAGGGGGTTTCTCGTCCACCAAGGGGAGTTTGCGTGGCTCGCGTGGCTACGGAAATTGTGGGCGGAGTTCCCCAGGCTTTCCCACTGGTGGGGGGAGCTTCTTTTGCCGACAGTTTATCCCTCTCCTGTGGGGAACCCCAGCATCAAGTTTGTTGTGCGGCATCGCTGTTTCCAGAGTTGTTAAGCCAGTTGCACGGCGGCCCTGTTTCGGCATATTTGCATTTTTCAGCGGGAGAGAGTGTGGACGCAGGCCATGGACGGTCCTGTTATTGGCCCTCCATGCTCAAAGACATTAGGCAGTGGTGTGAACAGTGTGTACCATGTCAGACTCGCAAAGCCCCTTGTACCTAAAACACAGGGCTTCAATGGGGGGGGGGGGGGAGGGTTGCAGACTGTGCGTCCGTTGTTCAGCGTGTGGCTATTGGACATTTTTGGAACTTCCGGTAACTTCCAGGGCAATCGCTATGTGTTGGAGGTGAACGATGATTTTTTCAAAGTTTTGTCAATCTGTATGCATTACCTATTAGCCAGACTGCTCTGACTGTGGCGCAATGTCTGTTTGATGATTATGTGCTTCTGCATGGTGTTCCAGAGACTGTACAGTAGCGATCAGGGCAGACTGGAGTTTGAGGCGGAGATTGTGTGCAGAGTTTTGTTCGCTCTTGGGCATTTAAGAAAACACCACAGCTCCATACAATCCAAAGTCGGATGGTATGGTCCCGAGCGGTTTTTAATCGTACACTCCCATTGTCCAGCTCGCCAAACATCATTGCTGTCATGTGGTGGTGAATGGGATGACCCTACCTTCAAACATGTGGCTTTTGCTTATAATACCTCTGTTCATGCATGGTACGGTTACACCCCCTTTTAACCTATTACATGGACGTGAAGCCCGGTCCCGGTGGAATATGATGTTTGTCGACACCCACTGCTCTTCGCTTGCCTATTTTCTCATGAGGATTTTGCCTCCTCTTCTCGCAGAGAAGTTGGGAGTGGCCTTTGCTAACACTAGGCAAAATGCTACAGTTGCCCATGAGAGTCAGAATTTGTATCATGATGTAGGGGCTTGACACAAAACCGTACAAATGTGGGTGATTTGGTGTGGCTTCAAAACCCCAGGGAGATAGGAGAAGCTAGCTGCGCACTGGAAAGGCCCCTTTAGGGTTGGCCCTGATACTGTGAACTCTGGGAGGTAACAGGGCTCTCGTATCGTATTTGTGATCCTTTAGTTGATGGGCCTGACGTGTCGTCCATTTTGATAGGTTAAGCCCTATACCCTGGTTCTCTGCCCAGATCGCCCGTCAGTGCCCGCCCTGGTCTGACATGTGGGTCTCCCGGATGGGTCTGGGTGTGGGTGTGTTGTTTGATATGCAACCTGAGGTGCCGGAGTTCACTCGGCACTGACGGCGTCAAAACCGGGTGGGTAGGGCTGAAAGTGCCCTGCCCGCTTTAAGGATTTGTTACATACGTTGAGGATTTTTGTTTACTTTTGTTTGTTCTTGTTACTGGCTCTTGACATGCAGTATGTGGCATTGGTGCTATTTTCACTGTTTTTTTTAGTTATTTTGTTTCGAGGTGTTAAACGGGACGTTTTTCTCTGTTGGGGGGAAGTATGTAAATTATCGTTCTGTATTCCACAGCATAATTCTATGCTTGTATTTTGAAAGGAAAAGACGCGAAAGGAGTCGACCTGTTGTTTCCGTGCGAGTGGCAGTTTTGTTGAGGACGAGCTGTGGGAGATGAAGAATATACCTCCAACGATCTGGCTTTCATCTTTCTTGTACTCCCATACCCTCGGGTTATGTACATGTTATCTCTGTACATAAAGTAGTGTGATGGGAGACCTCTGGGTCTAGATGAGTAGTAAATGTCTCCAATGGAAGAAATGACACTACATAAGCACAAGATAGCCATGATGGGTAAAGCAGCTGACCCATGGAGAAAATTAACCCCACTAAATAATAAGAACAGTCATTTTGTTGGCTGTTTTTTCAAATGTATCAATTTTCAGTCGCATGCCATGCGACCGTTATTATTATAGATCCATGAGCACGCGGCTCTCCAAGAGGCCATGTGTGACTGAGAGCGAGAGCGCAAGAGAGAAGAGTCGAAAGACAGACTCGAGATGAGGAGGGACGGAGGATGAAGATTTGAGGGGATAGGAGACTGGAGAGCCGATGGAGAGTGGGTGGGAGCCGAACTGAGCTTCCAGAGATGAGGAGATGAGGAGTGAGGTGAGAGAGTACTGAGGAGGAGAGAAAATTATCGAGAAGGACCGGTGTTGATGATGACTGCAGCTGGGAGACGCCGGATTTAGAGGGTTAGAATTTAGATCCGGAGTCTGCACTGAGAGCGATGTTTGAGCGGATGATGTCGACGCTTTGAGAAGAGATGAGAGCCGCTCATTCGACACGAGACAGAGCCGAGTCTGGGGGAGAGGCCTGAAGGGTCGGCGCGCGATGGGATGATTCCACGAACGTGACTGGACCCGGAGAGGTAGGCGTCTGACGAGAGAGGGCAGGCTGTGAGGTGAGATGGAAAGAGAGCCGACGACGAGAGAGATGAGTCGAGGTGGAGGAGTGGAAGTACGATCTGAGACGGGTGACTGTGCAGAGCGAGGGAGAGGCGGGATCCCACGCTGACAGAAAGCCTGAGTGTTCAGACGGATGGAACCGAGAAGGAGGACCGAGATGGCGCTTGACCTGAGCGAGATTGATGAGATTTTAGACTGATATAGATGTGATGAGACGAGGTTGGGAGATCGTGAGAGGGTGAGATGGTGATTGAGAGGAGAGGAGAGAGTAGCGGAGAGAGAGCGGATTGGGTGAGAAGGACGAGAGAGAGGTTTCGACGAGAGGTAAGGAAGGAGACGAAGTGGGCGGGAGTGAGATGTGGCAGACGCGACGTAGGGGGAGAGAGTGAGAGCCTGACGGTTGTTAGTGGAGATGCGACCGTACTAGAGAGATGAGCCGACGAGTTGAAGTGGAGAGATGTGTGGAGACAGGGATGGGGAGCGATTTGACGGATGAGTGATAGTTGATGATTGATGTGGTGAAGAGTTTGACGAGATTGAGAGGTGATTGCTTTCTCGTTGAGTGACGCGGAGAGCGAGCTGGTGGTGGAGAGAGAGAGCCAGATCGAGATGGAGGAGAGGTGGAGGCGATTCCTTCCGAGAAGGAGGTCCCCGACTTGGCTGATATTGATGTTCCTTGAGAGAGCTGATTTTGTGTGAGCGGACGAGTCTTCGATGAGACGAGATTGTTTCCGGGGCGAAATCTGTGGGAACAGACTTCCTGTGTGGGTGAGATGAGAGGTGCACGCAGTTGAGTTTGAGATATTGTGACTCAGATGGCGACTGGAGGACAGGAGACGTACGAGAGGAGGACGCATAGAGAGTTGAGAGACCGGAGGGACTTGAGAGACGGAGCTTTGAGGTTCCTGGGTTCGATTGAGAAAGAGAGAACGTTGTGCCGAGAGGCGTCATGGAGGGAGGACGAGCAGTGATGCGCCATGATGGAGAGGCGACGACCGAGAGACGGGGAGAGCTCTCGATGCGATTTGAGCCCGTTGGTAGGATATGAGATGGAGAGGAGGGCGCTGAGAATTTAGATAGATGAGATTTCTGGAGGTGAGAATACTGACGAGCGAAGATAGTTGATGGATGAGAGTTCTAGTGTCTAAGGCATGGGGAGACTGGGTGGAGTCTCGGGTAGATAGATGATGACGGTCGCTGGGAGCCTGTTACCGGTGAGAGAGTAATGATTTTGAGAGGGGAGACACGGAGAGTGACGGAACCCTGGTCGGTGAGAGAGTGTGCGAATTGAGTTGAGACAGATCGAAGTGAGTAATAGAAGAGGGTCCGAGGTTTCCTGTGAGTGAGGGGGGTGGTGGTTTGGAGAGACTGGAGAACCCGGGGACGAGAGAAAGAAGGGTTCGAGAAGTCGTCCGGACGGCCTGAGAGAGGATGGGTTGAGGAACAGCCGAGAGATGAGGGAGTCCTGATGGGTGGATCGAGTGCGACGGTCGGCGCGTGGACCGGGCGATACGGAGAGTCACATTGAGAGGAGGAGCGAGGGATGGCGGAATTGGCGAGGGGAGAGAGTCGATTAAGGAGTCGTCTATTAGGTCGAGCGGATTGATGAACCTCGGGAGAAGTGGATATAGAGATTAGACGGGAGATGAGATAGAGATGGGGACGGAAGTAGATCGATCGATCTGAGATGACGGGTGAGCAGCGGTCGGAGACGGATAGAGAGGAGCTAAGGGGAGCCTGTGAGATAAGGGTACGTGGCGGAGCGCGAGCGGGACGAGAGGGAAGTGGAGAGCAGGAGAAATTCTGGAGATAGCGCTGCGAGAGTGAACGTGCAGAGGAGATGAAAGGATCCGAAGAGAGAAGACGCTATGAGACGATTGTGAGCAGAAGCGACGTGATCGAGATGGGACCGATGCAGGTGAGATGATTTGAGCCGTGAGTTAGGTCATGGAGGCGAGATCTGGAAGAGTGATTGATTGGAGAGAGTGGTTACGGGATGTCGAGGAGGAGCGAGGTGAGGGGAGAGATTCAGACGTGATGAGAGAACTAGAGATAGGAAGAACGTACCGGTGAGCCCGAGAGGGATTCGACTCGGAGTGTGGAGAGAAGAGCAGCAGAGAGAGATTGATTCTGAGGACTGAGAGAGGGAGTTGGTGTTTGAGGAGAGTGGAATGAGAGGGAACGAGCGATTGCCCGATGGAGAGGATGAGAGACCACCTCGCCAGAGAGCTGAGGAGTGATTGATCTGACCGAGAGCGACACGAGTTGAGAGGTGACCGAGGAGAGTGCTAGAGGAGAAGAGAGAGAGGAGAGGAGAGAGAGAGAGAGAGAGAGAGAGAGACGAGAGGAGAGAGAGAGAGAGACGAGAGGAGAGGAGAGAGACGAGAGGGAGAGTCGAGAGAGATGAGAGAGGGAGAGAGAGAGAGAGAGAACGAGAGAGAGAGGGAGAGAGGAGAGGCCGAGGGAGGAGTGGAGAGACACGCGAGAGAGGGGGAGAGGGGGGAGGGAGACATGAGAGGGAGAGAGAGGAGGGGGACGGGACGAGTGAGAGGGAGATGAGAGGTGGTTTGTGGTTTCAAAGTTGAATTTTTATCATATTGCATTTTCTGTGTTCGAATTATTTGATTCTCTGATATGTTTTTGAGTAATTGACAACTTTGTAAAGTCTCTTGAGACGACTGCTGATGTGATTTAGGGTGATGCTCATGCACTGAAAAATAAATTGACTGTCTCGCAGCTCATCTGGAGAATGGGAATTGAGATCCTTCACCATCATCCAAACTCCACACTCGACGACTACAATAACATCTACGAGCGCATAAAGCACTCGGGAGTAAAGCAGTACTTGAAGGTAAATACTCAGAATCTTATTTATTTATTTATAAAACCAATTAAAACATTTTCATTCCAGCTGTGTCTGGAGCAGTCTTTTCACCTGCTTCTAACCGGTCGCTTCCACGATGCCAAACAAACTCTGGCTCTTGCTGAAAGCTGGAGACATGAAACAGCGAGAGTAGCTCAGAAGAAAGTGGTGACCCTCATCGTGGCCTACAGGAGCCTCCTGGACTACATCATGTGGTGCGAGAAGAAGGAGACGTCTGATGCAGGTAAGATTTCTTACTTCATGGTTACATGACTCGTGTCATGATTTAAGAATAATTTTGATTCAATAATGATTTTAAAAACTAATGTGATTAATGAGACCCTCTGCTCTCTCTCTTTCTGCTTTCTGGTCTCTCGCTGAGATCTGATGTCTAGTTTCTCCTTGGTCTTTGTCTGGTCTCTCTAAACCAGGGGTCACCAAATTGGCAACTCCACTAACTTGATCAGCTCAGTAGACTAGGGTCTGGACATCAAAAATGTGTTGCAATAACAGACAAAAACATATTTCATTTTATACAAATCCAATTTTGTATAAAACATTTCTTTCATTAGTTTCATTGCAAATAATAAAAGGAGGTAAAAACTATGACTTTTGTATGTGATGTTACAGTGCCCCTTGCTGTCTACTGAAGGACACTACATATTTCTTTGCCCAAAACAAAGTAGTGGTATTTGCTGATTTGTGGTCTTTGCTGATTTTTGGTCTATCTTCCTTTTTATATCCTTTCAGATTTCAAAGGTTCAGAGCCAAAAGCCATGCACAACCATTTCAGACAGGCTTCAGTGGGTTTGAAGGAGGTCTTTCAAAATCCTGGTGTCTGGGATCCGTTTATCTTGAGCTACATTGATGTAAGTGATGCAACATACTTTCACTAATGGTGTATATACACTGTTAAATATGTAAAGATTTATGTAAGCTGCTTAAAGACAGGTTACCTTTATATTTCAAAAGTGAAATGTTAAAAAAATTCAATTCTGATCATAACATGCTTAATTCAGTTTATTATATTTTTTTTAATCCTGTGTATTTGAGAGACTGGTCTCTCTTTCTAGTCTCTCTCTCCCTGGTCTTTCTTTTTCTGCTCTCTCTCGGGTTTCTTTCTCTGCTCTCTCCAAGCCCTGGCAATCCAAGATGGCGCCCTATTCAATTCAACGGCTTGTGCTCAGTAGCGCATGGGACCTACATGGGGACTGAAAGATTGTTGGAACTGGCCCATATATGGGCATTGTCGGGCCCCTCGGTTCTGCGGAGTGGATGAGCTCCCATTATGCTTTGCTCCAAGTATGCAGGTGTGGCTCTCATGTGCACAGAGGAGCTCAGCCGCGCTCTGACCAATCAGAGCTGCCTATCAGAGTGGAGCTAGAGTGGGAGACAATTGAGCAGAGTTTGTTGCTTTAAAGTGTAGATTTATAGAAAATCGAAGGATTTAACGAGAAAAAAAGTTCAGGACGACAAGGGGCACTAAAATCCCCACAAAATTAGACCGTTATTAAAACTGTAGGTTCTCTGTCAGCTGAGGTCGAGCTGTTTTAGTTTATATTGAGTTCTATATGACACATTTTCTGGGTAGCCCTTGTGCCTGTTGGTGGGACGGCTATAAGCTAGTAATGCCCTATCCAGATATTATAGATCCATGGGTCTCTCTGTCTCCTGTCTCCTGTCTCTCTTTCTCTCTTTCTCTCTGTCTCTCTCTCTCTCTCTGTCTCTCTCTAGTCTGTCTCTCTTTCTCTCCAGTATGTCTCTGGTCTCTCTGTCTGGACTGGCCTGGAACAGGCCAGAGTCTCTCGCTCGCTCTCTCTCTGGTCTATTTCTGGTCTCTCTCTGGTCCCCAACAGTCCCTATCTGAGGCTTTTGGCTGCGAGCTGAGTGAAGGCGGTCCTTTCCTTTTCACTTTCCTACCTGATAAAGCTGATCAAAAGATGTGATGGAGCCAAATAATACATGCATGCAAACTCTTTGTGGTTTCATTTCACTTGGTTACCCCAGCTTTAATTCTCGTTATATTCTCCATTATTTTCCAGATGTTAGAGTTTTATGACGACCAAGAGGAGGCTCTGAAGGTCCTGAATCACTATGCCTATGACAATGCTTTCCCTCACAATCCAAACGCTCACCTTTATCTTTATCAGTATCTGCAACGACACGACGCATCACCCAGAACGCTACTCAAAGTGCTCAAGGTAAGCTTTTTTTATTGTGTTCAAAAATATGAAATACTTATCATGAAATATTTAGTGAAACAACTATGAAGGGTTAAATAATGCTTTCTGCCTGTAACTCCCTGTGCTACCACCAGAGGGAGGAGTTGTTTTGTTTTTTCCCAAGTGATGAGCATGAACCTAATTTCACTTGAGAAATGACCATTTTGGGGCTATACTTTTGTCTAACCCTTGTGCTATCCTCCAGGGATTGTCAAGTTAAGTAGATTTCAGCTCAAAAAACTTGGAATCACTGTGGCGGATCAATTTGACTCGAAGATGGCACAAGGGTTAAAAGGGAGAAAACTGCTCTGAGCGTGATCTCATAGTGCTTGCTCTCTGGTCTCTATCTGGTCTCTCTCTGGTCTCCCTGGATGCTTAGGGCTTGTCTCAATTCGGAGGGCACTCGAGTTATGTGCCCTGAACAGAAAAGTGTCCTCCAATAGGAGAGTGCACTCGTTGATATTCTCCGTGAGAAATGGGACACCCAAGGATCTAAGGGACACCCCTATGTTTACAAATCGACGCAAAACACGTGTTCCACGCAATATCAACGTGTCTGATTTCACCACAGATAAGATAGACATGCATCATGGGAGTATGCAGCGAGCTCTCCCACACCCCCCGCGGGCACGCGCAAAGTCTAGGGCTAGAGTGAGAATTGGGACGGCGCTGTAGTTAGTGTTAAGCAATTATGAATTTTCTTGTGATATTTCTGTTTTTCAGATTCTTCATTCCCTTCTTCCAAGCCATCCCTTGATGATTGACTATTGCGCTCTTTTGCTTAAATCTGGTAAAAGTTTTATAATTTTGTAATTTACCCGCTACAATTGATTGAATACATGTCTTGTATTTTCATTGTTTTATCCTGAAGGTAAAACTAAGAAGGCTTTGGGAGTCGCTGTGGACATGCTGGACTACGCCTGCTGGAGCAAAAACCTGGATGTCTGGAAGACTCTGGCATCAATAGCTGAGAAACTACAGACGGAGTGAGCATTGGAGTTTTAGTCACTTCATCTGCCGTTAGTTTCTTTCTCAATTGCATTAGTCGACTTCTGTACTTATCTCAATTCAATGTATTTGTGTATCGCTGTTAATCTCAACAGCAAGTTTTTTGATTCACCCACAAACCGATAACAACAGATGACAGAGAATCAGTTCAAACACTGGAAATGCAGTATTAACACATAGGGAGCGGGATGAGCACTGTCCAGAAATGTTAATACAAATGTCCCGTATCATCACTGTCCTTAGACTGAGGCTGTAGATCCAGGACTGGGGCTGTAGATCCTGGACTGAGGCTGTAGATCCTGGACTGAGGCTGAAGATCCAGGACTGGGGCTGTAGATCCTGGACTGGGGCTGTAGATCCTGGACTGAGGCTGTAGATCCTGGACTGAGGCTGTAGATCTGGGACTGGGGCTGTAGATCCTGGACTGAGGCTGTAGATCTGGGACTGGGGCTGTAGATCCAGGACTGAGGCTGTAGATCCGGGACTGGGGCTGTAGATCCAGGACTGAGGCTTTAGATTCAGGAACCAAAATGTTCTTGAGACATGTTCACTCCAACTGATGCCTCTGTATTGTGTGTTTGAGCAGAGGTGACCTAAAGGAGACCGTGTGCAAAGTGATGTGCAATAGGATTGACTGGTGGCCTGCTCTTCACTTCACAACTTTCCACGCTGCCCAGGACCAAAGAGAGCAGCCAGAGCTCCGCAGACTGAAGGTCCCCCTGGCCAGGCTCCTGTGTCCTGGTAACTGTAGTCTGATTATTATAACAAATACATTATTATTATAAGTCTAAATTCTGATGTTTCATAGATATGACGCTGAGGTACTGCCAGACGGAGGCAGCCACATGAGAGCTCAACAACACCACACAAACAAGGACTTTTTCTTCAGGTCTGGAATATTATCTTAATCTAAGGCCCTGTCCACACAAAGTCAAATAAAGGCCTCAACACAAAAATACTTTGTCAATCCAGTGTATTATCCACATGTCGGTAGGTAGTTGTTTTTCATCCGTCCTAACCACCAGAGGACGGTGCATAGCGCAGACCCTCTCAGTTTCCAGTTTTGGACCTGGCCTCGGTGTTGGAGTCTACTGTCCTCCGTATGAACCTTTGGCCCAGACGGACCTCTAGTGATTCTCTTGTAAGACTGCTTTCCAGTTGGCTGTGGTCTCTGCGTAAAGGGTCAGTGAGTTACATGGACTTTCTGTCAGTTCCTAATGCCTCACATGGTGTCCTGAGTAGGCTGGCGTTGTCTTGTGGCCTAATCCCACTTTCCCTCCAAAAGTGCTCTCCCATGGCCATTGTAACTGACCTTTTGAGATTGGTGCGTTTGTGTCTACACTCGACCTCCATAACTGCGACGGCAGGTATGAGGAGTTATGGTGGTGCTACACTGGGCACTGCAGTCCATATTCTAAACAGCGCCTTTCCCACTGGGTGGTTGAAGTTATCCAATGTGCATATGTGTTGGCGGGCCCATTCTACCAGGAGTGTCTCTTCCTCCTGGGCCGCTATGCGCGGGGTTCCCCTGGGTATTATTTGTGCTGCTACGTCTTGGGCCACGCCCAGCATGTTCACTAGATTCTATGATGTAAACATGGCCACCCGGGCTCCTCTTGGCGTGGTCCTTTGGGAATCCTCTGGCTCTCCTCCATGAGGTATGTAGTCGGGATCTTTCGTGACATAGCTGGTATTAGGTCATTCAGTGCCATGCACCGCTCTCTGGCAGTCAGGAAGGATGAAATAGAACTAAGGTTATATATTAAACCACGGTTCTATGAATCCCGGATGACCGCCACTGTCACTCAGGGTCCTTACGTTTTCGCGTGAAGATTCTGCAGGAGTGGTGGATGACGCTGGACTATAATACCTCCTGAGCGTCATCCAGGGGGTCACAGGTGTGACTCATTTGGTATTACTACTCAAACTGCGCATGCACAAAGGGAACATTCAATGTTATGCAGCTCTGGCAGTCATCTGGGATTCATAGAACCGTGGTTACATACGCAACCTTTGTGTCAGAAACAGATTTTTGAAACCTGGTTTCAAAATTGTGCGTTTTCAGAGTCAATAAGATGCAGAATTTGTATGGATGATACATTTTATCTCTCTCTCTCTGGTCTCTTTCTGGACTCTCTGTCTGGTGTCTCTGTCTCTCTCTCACTCTGTCTGGTGTCTCACGCCCTTTTCTCTCTCTGGTCCCTCTCTCTCCCTCCCTCTCTGGTCTCCAATTTTTCTATAACCTGGTTTCAAAAATGTGTGTTTTCAAACGCAGGCTTAGTGTGGATGATACACTGGATACACTGTGTTTAGGCCTGAGTTTGACTGTAACCTGCTTTTGATACAATTAAAAGTAGGTTTTACACTTATTTTGTTAATTTAAATAAATATGTTGTGTTATGTTTGTTTGTGAATTTTGTTCTGTATAAAAATATAGAGGGAGTGACCCAAATTACAAAAATGGTCAGTCATGATGTGGACAAGTCACTTGTGATTGTCTTTGTAAATCCATTACGATGCCCATTTAAGGAAATTGGCACCAGCTAATTTATGTTCAAATTGGCTCCTTCCACTTTAATGCTAACAATATGGTGATGTCACACTCGGTCAGTCCACTAGAGACGAGACAGTATCAAATATATATATATTTTTTGTAATACCGATACTACAGGTAATATGTTTAAAAAAATGCAGAAATTCGATTTAATAACATTACCATCTAAGTCGTTACAAGTTAAAATCATAAGCCCTGTTTCCATCCGGCCCTACTCTACTCTACCCTAATCGCCAAATGAGAATGTTTTCTCCGGCCCTGTTTAACCAGTATTGTGTCCTTCCTTAGTTCCTCTTGGCCCTGGTTCTATCCCAGCCTGTACTAAAGTGTTCTGACAGTGATTGGCCAGGGAGCTGCTTGAAGCCCTGGGTACCAAGGAATTTCCCCGGATATTGGTTTGTTGTGGGTAGGTTGCTAGGATACAGTACTACACACTGAGGCGTAATGGAAACACAACCAAGTAGAATAGAGTCAAAACCGAGCTATATTTCAGAGGTTTTGGAGCTGGGTCCAGCTTTACAAACTCCAAACACGTTCACAGGTTGTTACATTTATACAAAGTCTGTAAAGTCTGGTGTGTTTTCCAAAAGGTCACCTCCAGGACAGGTTCCACCACAACGGCCCCCTCCCTCCGGAGTGTAGTTGGCCGTGTGCATCAAGAATTAACATTTTTAAACATGCAGTCAGTTCCCAGATTGCTACAGCAGCTGTGGTGAAGCTACACAGGGAATTGGCTTATGTAATAAATGTAAAAAAGAAAAAAGCCAAATATATGCAGGTTAAAATAGAGCTAAAATTACACGGGGAGAGTGAACTATTAAGGCAAGGCAAGTTTACTTTATACAAATCAAGAGAGGAAACATTAAAATCAAAGACATTCTAATATAACAAAACCACAGTGCAGAACGTGAAGAAATGTAGGCCTCTAACCCTCTTTTTGATGCATACTGAAACTCAAACCCCTACAGGTTTCAAACCTGTCTCAAGTAAACATTAAAATCCAACATACTTACAGTGCAAAAAAATGTGAGGATACAATCAGTTTTATGCACAGCTCCCCCTGAAGCCACATCTGCCTCTGGGTCGACAAATGTAAATATGGCAGCCAATAAACTTACAAAAGCACTTAACATTATAACATGGACCTTTTGCATGATTATTGAAAAGCTGGGGTACCTTACTTTCGTGTTTCATGAAACAAGAAATATATTTTGCATAATATATATAGAGCAAGATAGAGCCTTATGAGTCACTATTTGACGCTTTGGGCTGAGTGCTGATTGGTGAAATAAAAGTATGTGAAAACTGGTGACAAAACCAAAGTGCTTAGATCTTCCGTATATGGGTTTAATAACAGATAATGATATGGAAGTTAGGTACCTGAGCTTTAATTACAGATATATTTAGTTTATCACTGCGCTTTGAACAGTCTGACAGGAGCCTGGCTGCAGGCGAAGTGACTCGAGGGGAATTGGGATTCTTGTAAAGAAAGAAAAACAGACGCCAAAAATATCCTCGCTTTCGCTAACACTGCTCAGTTCAAAGTGACACCCGAGTATCTTTGTTCTCTGCTGCTCCTGCTGCTTCTGCTGCTGCTGATGTGAGAGACCAGAGAGAGAGACACAAAAGAGAGAGAGAGGGATGAGGGAGAGAGACCAGATCACCTTATTTGGATTGGCCCAGGGATTACAGAGACATTAGCTCTAAACTGCGACTAGAACCAGACTTCAAACGCTCATATTTTTTTCAGCTGCCCTTAACCATAACAATTAACTATAGACTCTTTGGAATCTTGTGATGTCACACGAACCCAACCTATGCGGCTACAAGATGCGAGACAATGTTGAGACGCTTTGGCTTGAACAGAAACAGTTACATTATTTATTTTGTGAGGAGTTTGGGGGGAGGATGTCGAGCGCAGAGATAAGCAGACGGAGTGTGGCAGTGCTTCAGGCTGCAGAGCTTACCTGAGGCCGACAACCGCGTGTGGTTTGATAAGTGGAAAATCAAAATGACTGACTTTGCTGCAAGCTTTCCAACCAGAGGTGAACCACAAATGTGTACAGCGCTACAGTATGTACCACTGCAGATACTAGTACTACAATCAATGAGAACTCTTGAGATTTGGAATGTTTCAAGTTAATGGTGATGTCTGAAGCAGATGACTCTGTAGTATAATTGAGATGTATTTTTCATAATTGATATATTATAATTTGCCTCTCCCCTTGGAATAAGCATCACTAGTCTTATTCGGTCGAGACTCGTGACTACAACCTCCGCACCACATGGGAGCCTCATCCCTGGATTTACAGCCTCAGTCCTGGATCTACAGCCTCAGTCCTGGATCTACAGCCTCAGTCCTGGATCTACAGCCTCTTCCCTGGATCTACAACCTCAGTCCTGGATCTACAGCCTCAGTCCTGGATCTACAGCCTCAGTCCTGGATCTACAGCCTCAGTCCTGGATCTACAGCCTCTTCCCTGGATCTACAACCTCAGTCCTGGATCTACAGCCTCAGTCCTGGATCCACAGCCTCAGTCCTGGATCTACAGCCTCAGTCCTGGATCTACAGCCTCAGTCCTGGATCCACAGCCTCAGTCCTGGATCTACAGCCTCAGTCCTGGATCTACAACCTCAGTCCTGGATCTACAGCCGAAGTCACTTACGCTAATATTTTGGCCACAGGACTTGATTTGAATGGGTAAACATCTCGGAGACCCGGGGCAGACATCTTGGAGAAATTCATAGTTCCCCACTCTCAAAACAGTGCTTCTATCACTAGTTGTCTGCATGCTAGATTTTTTGGCCTTTATTAGACTTTTGACAGCTTGTCAAAAGTGTCAAATTGTGAGTCACAGGGCTCAATCTTATACAAAACAAGTTTTCTGATAAGATGACGACAGCATGTTGTTGACAAACAGGTATAGTATTATTGAACATAGATACCCCAGCTTTAAACCTATTCACAATGTCCTGCAGGAGGCAACAGAGAGTTACTGCAATGAACTACCACAACTTTTATGAATGAACGCCTGAGCTACAATCCTGTAATTGATGTTTGGAGCCATGGAGGAATATAATTGTGTGTTCCAAAGGGAATAATGTATGTTTACTCTGATTTAAAGAGCTTACAAGATGACATCATGGGCCAGCTCCACAAATCACATCTGCAAAACAAGCCCATAGTCTGTTCACTAATATATTTTAGAATAATTGTGTATCGCCCTAAATCCTATATAGAGCGGAATGACCACTGTCCAGGAATGTTAAGAAACATGCAGAAATGTCCCGAATC